CACTGTACGAGAGTACGCGGTTATTACAGCTGACAATGATGATGATGATGATATTCCCACTTCTATTGCAGATTCCTCTGGTGCAAGGTTCTAATGAGGTATTTTTCCCAAAGTCATAGCCTTGGCTGGAATTTATCCAAGATCTTTTTCCCAACAGAGAACGAAGAAGTGTAGTCTGTCAAATATTGAGGATCCGTTTGTGCTTCATTTTTGGGATTCCATCGGTTAGACCCAATCAACTTGCACTTGTTCGTCTCTCTACTTGCAGTTATCCTAACAGCGAGTGGATAAAAAACACCACATCCTCCGTACAATGTTCTGACCATGTTACTGGACGTCTCCGCTTCTATATATTTTTCGCTGCTTTCCTTTGCCATTTTGCTCCAGTTTGCTTATCAATAGCGTTTTTTCCGGCTAGGTTACATTACTCGAATCCGAAATCAAGCGTTCTCTACAATTCGTTGATTCGGGCAATACCAATTCTTCCGGTGACTCAGATGCCATGCTTCAGAGCTCGGATAAGGAGAATCACGCCCTCCCCACTCCTGTACTACCGCCTTCGTCCGTTGTGGCTGGTGATATGTCATCAAATGGGTTACGTACTGCCACTGAGCTGTTACATCTCCATAAGCAGGAAAAGTCTGTAGATCTGCTGCAAAATTTACTGACAACTCAGTACTTATCCGTCACCCAACCTACATCAGACTTACTGGATCAACTCTGTGCCCTCACTTTGGACGTACAGCCAGAAACCCCTCACGAGGAGTGGTTTCAAAGGACGTTTGCTCCTGTAAGCCTTTTTCTCTTATTGTTTCACAGTGTCTTCTGATCCAACTAACGACTGTCACCTGATAGCAGTATCGGTATTTCGGTCGAATGCTCATGTGTCTGAAGCTGTTTTCACCGGAACGACACCCGTTTTTTTTCTGCCGAGACCCTCTTGTTTTTGTCTTTTTATATCGTGTTTGAATTCCATTAGTGATATTCAGCTCTGCTTCACAAGGTTATGTATCAGCTACCATGTCGTACGCACCTTCAGGTTGACAATCAGTTTCGAGACAAAACTTGTTCTTATATTCTAGCGAGGCACCAGCAAACAGAGCTTCGTACACAGCATACTAGCCTTAATCCACATAGTGAAGCTGAATGAAAGTTTTCTTGCTTTTTGATTTTCGGACAATTGTTATCAGTCAGGAGAGATTTGGAAATTTTCGATTAAGATCTCATTTTGTAACTGAAGCTAATCTATGTTGAAAACAGCTATACAGCTGTTTCATCCTTATTAATTATCAACAGTTCAAGTCTTATATATGTGACTTTGCCACTCGCATATCAAAAGAAACGATTTGTTGTGGTTTTCGTATGTCCAGCATCACCATAGAAGTTTAGCACTCGAAATCCTGACTGTTGGTTATTCTGCGCCGCCCTTGAATCTCTACTCTTTTACACCCGTTTTCAGATCGTGTCGGAACTTCGCGAATCACTAGTCAACCCCACAGACCTCAACGATGCCAAACTACCCTTGATTCTGATGCGTCAATTGATGAACCAACTACACACTGTTCATCACTCACCAGGTGCCAGTCGTCTTAATCCTCGAGCGCAACCAACTGAGACTTCCCGTCGACTGGGAGTGGACATGCTTCCCCTAAACAAGACGTCGTTGGGCAACACGCTTAGTCTGAGTCTGTATCATCTCAGTCCGCAATTAGCCCGGATGCAATTTGGCAGCCTTGGTACAATACCTCATATCAATAGCAAAGAGGAGTATAACGTTAGTAATTCTGTCACCAGCAATAGTAGCATCCCACTTCCCGGCAGATTTGATTTGGAGTCAGCTAGTTTGTCCAGTCGAGTAGCCGTTTTACCCACGAAAACCCGACCGAAACGACTTTTGTTCCGTGCACAGAATGGTCACACCTATCCGTACTTGCTCAAAGGTCTGGAAGATCTCAGACTGGATGATAGGATTATGCGTCTGTTCGAACTGGTTAACCTTGCCATGACTCGACGTCCAACCATGGATACGGAACAATTCAGTCAAATTTGCGCCAGAACCTACGCAGTTACACCACTAGGAGTACGAGCCGGACTTTTACAAATGGTTCAGGGAGCTGCACCTCTCTTTGGTCTCTATAAACGTTGGCAAATCCGAACTAGTAAATTAGACGGTGATACCGTCCCATCCCAATCACCCAGTTTGACAGTAAGTGTCCCAAGGCCAGGAGAATTATTCCATGCTCGATTGAAAGATCTGCTACTGGCTGCCAACGTACCCTACCAGTCTCAGGTGCGCTCCAGTTGGCCGCTGGAGACGCTGAAAGAAGTGTTGAGGTCTCTGGAGTCAGAAACACCACCGGACTTGTTGTCACGCGAGCTCTGGGCAGCCAACATGTCTTTTGCTGCTTGGTGGCGTGCCACACGCACTTTTGCGCGTTCTGCCGGAATGATGAGCAGTTTGGGTTATCTTGTTGGTTTGGGTGATCGACATTTGGATAATCTATTGGTTGACTTCACTACGGGTCACCTGATTCATATAGATTATAATGTGTGTTTTGATAAAGGACGTACCTTACGGGTCGCTGAAAGAGTACCATTTCGGCTTACACAAATTATACGCCACGCCTTGGGCCCGGTCGCACAAGGCAACCAATGTCGTGGTTCCTTTAGAGTTGCCGCCGAAGAAACGTTGCGTGTGGCCCGTGAGATTCTGGACCCTTTGCTCACTCAATTGAAGGCATTTTTGATTGATCCGCTTATCGACTGGCAAACAAAGAAATCGACATCCATGCTGATCACCGATTTTACGCACCTTGGTGCTTATCTTGGCGGTGGTAGTTGGACGACAACCAAGCACCAGTCGGCAACGCGAACACGTAAACAACGTCGAATCGAATCTGAATGTCGTTTGTACAGTGGTCTTGTGGCTACGCGGCTTCTGGAGCTCGGTAACACACCCCATTTTGGAGCAACTATTGCTGCGCTGGGTCAGGTAATCACGCACCTTTCCGCTTGGCAAAAATGGAGAGCATCAGCCTTACTTTGTACCGCGACGGAACATTCTTACAGACTGCTTACCAACGCTAGTAGTACTGAACTAGAACACGCTGAGAACCGTTGTACTGCTTGTGAAGCTGTTTCACAAACACTGGTTGATCTACAGCAAGAATTGCGTGATCATGTGAATGTTTGGAAGCAGTGCACCTCAGAACATCGCGAACTGTTCAGGGAGCTGCTTGATCCTACTTGGCTGCCTAGTCTGCTAGCTGCCCAGGGTGATCTCTGTCCCGAACTATCCTTAGCGCTGACACAGTACCATGCGGTTGCCCGTGTATACCTGTCATATCCGTCTTTGTGCCCTCTGAATGCTTGCTGGACAGAACTCGTTCACACTCTTCAATCGACGATTAGCCTGTTTGTAGAAGAACCACTTTCAGATGCTGCTTTGGAATCTTGCCTGGATACCTTCAGTGATCATGGATGTATGCGCCCTCCAAATTCCTTTGATCCGATTCTTTTACGTGAACTGGAAAAGTCGGTACTCGAAACCCGTCGTTCGGTGGCGGAACTCAGGGACAACGTTGCGGAAGACGCTGGTCCGACAGTACTAATCAATGAACTTCAGTCTGTCATACGTCCCGAACTGGAAAACCTTCATCTGTTCATCTACGATCAAGGTCCTGTTGGAGTAACTTCCTATTGTTGGGCCCTAATAGACTACTTACCTGGTCTGATAGCCAATCTGCTTAGCCTTGAGACCGATCCACAGAACTGGGCATGTGTTGATGTTTCGTTGAACAATGCTCATGATCAGCCAACCAATTACCTGGAACAGTTATCCATGTTCGTTGAATGCCTTACAAGCTTGTTCAGCGTACTGCATCATCAACCAAGTGGCGCGTTTCACTTTACCGCCGGTTACGAAGCCGACGCTCGTCGCGAAACTGCCTTCCTACTCAGCGTCCGTGATGTTTGTCATTGTCTGGTTGGTTTAAAATTAAATCTAATTAGACTTCTATTACCAGCAGCAACTGATGCGTTGATTGATGTCACCGGAGATCTTGCTGAAGACTTCTCCAAATTTGTTGCGCGACATCTTGCAGAGTCAAATCCCACGAACTTACCCGACCTTGTAGGAACATACCTCGGTAACTGTAACCTCTCGGAAAACCCATCAGCTAGCCGCCTGCACCAAGTTCTGATAGCGGTGCATCTAGCACTCGTGAATACTGCTGCTCAGTTGGATGATATTGCTCAAAGAATCCGCACCTGCTCCGTAACAGCACTCGCCTGGTACTACGTCGATATATTGGCTCAGGCTACTGCAACTATGTTGTCCCGATGCAGTGAATGGCGCGAAGGAGCCACTTGCTTATGGGGTTGGGAGTCTTCCGGCACATGCAGTTCTCAAGCAGGATCCAATCCCTGTTCCTGGCTGGACGAGATTTACGCCTCAGGTATGATGGCGTTTGTCTCAATTCTGGACGATTGTAGAGCTCACTGGCAAGCCATAAAAACCGGGTCCGTTGATGTTCAGCAAGATATTCTGCTAACCCCGTTTTCTGCAACTGTCGATCGTTTTCTTGGTCGTCTGTCTTCACGCATTGCTCTGGCAAGTCTTGTTAGTTTGGCTGCTGGCCGCCTATTCTGCGCGCTGATTGAGGACACTGGAATATCTGTACGTCGCCTGGTGAACTCAAAAGTTGTCGGTGTGCCGGATGTGTTGTTTACTCCCTCAGCTGAAAAGCTTGTTGAGGCGGCTGGTTTGCAATTGTCAGTCAGTCATCCGATAGGGGTCCAGCATCTACGTGGCCCTGCGTCGAATCTCATATATCGTTTGGTAAATCGTGCCACTAGAGCGAACGAGCGTGCTTCTAAGGCGCTAAAGCTGGAACTGGCCGATAAACATTTGACTCACCTGAGCAGAAGTCTCGCTGCCTTCAGATGGATCCATACGCCTCAGTACAGTGCAAATGACACCGCTCAATTTACATCCGAACTGAATTTGGACTCAAAACCACAGCCTCTGTTTCCTTCGACTATTCGTGATGCGTTGACAACGATTGGGACAGCGATTGCGAATTACGAGTCAGTGTCCAAGGATCGATCGAAAAGTGAAACAGTCAAGCTAATTGATGTGGCGCGCTCCGTTCAGTTCTTCGAACAACTGAGGATCACGTAAGTCTGTTCACTTCCCTTCATTTTCTGTTATTTTCCGCACCGTATTACCGCAGTGCAGTTCACCATTTTCGTGCGTCACCACCTTCAGGCAGTAAACCTTTCGGTTATTTGAGCAGTTTACAGTTTCTGGAATTGAGGATGCGTTATTATCTGTTCGCGTTTACTATTAAAATTACTGCCAGCTTCCCTATCTCTGTACTTAGTATCCCTAATTTGGTCCAATCAGTTCCTTATTCCCCCTTCTAACTAGTCCGGGCGCTTTTGTTCCCACACGCCGTAATATTGAAATCTCAAATATCCAGAATGCTAGGATTTAATCATGTGTTAGAGCGCAAGTACTCATTATCCGTATCGAGCTCAAAGTTAGGTCGCTAAAACTATCCCTTTTTATTACCGGTTGTATTAATTATTTCCCTGTTGTGTAATCGCTTTCTCTAACTTGTTCCCTTCCGTGTTCAGCGGCCCCTCTAGTTGTTCTGCATATTACGTCTGTATGCAGCTGTTACACCAACTTAGGGAGGCTCTGACTGCGCAGAAACGAGTGTTGGATCAGCTCACCGAACTCGATCGGATCCTACTCAGTCTCAAGGTCAGTTTTACCGTCTCAACTTTTTTGAACCAATGCAGACTTAGGCGTCTGATCTGTGTGACCAATGCACGTTACTTGATTTACTCATCATAATTCAAGCGTGTCGTTATCCCCTTGTAGTGGTTCCAAAGTGATGTTTTCTTTGTCAGACCAGTCTTTCGGTTGCAGGATTCAGCTGCTTGTGTTTGACTTGTTACCTCTGGTTAGCCAAAAGAATACTCACAGTAGCTAGAGGCGTTTTCCATTATAGCATCCGTTACTTCACAACGCAATTTTGGCCAAATTTCTTTTGTTGCGGTTTCTATACACTAAAGGCTCTTGTTACGAGACCCCCCTATCTTGCGAACAATAGCGCTGTGGCTGTCCTCGAAACGAGATGACTCAGTGGTTAGAGCGCGAATTTACTGACCACAAAGTTCGCGGTTCGAAATCGACTTTCCGTCTTAGCCCTCTTGCTAACTTCGGATGACAGCAGCCAGACAACACAAGGGTGTTACAGCTGGACGTTTTCTCTTCAAAACGATAGTAAAGCATAGTATTTATTGCTAGTATGTTGCTATCAGTGGCGTTAATATTGATTATTACAATCTAATCAAACCTACTCATCGCGATAATTGCCAGATGCTGACTAGTTGTGGTTGATTTGTAATCCAAGACAAGTCACGTTCGTGGACTTGATTTTTTACTAAAAAACAAGGTGTGATTTCTACACCCAGAGAATTTTTCTGAATAGCTGAAGTAGAATGAATTGTTTACTAGTGTCGTTGCCAGTATGCCGAAAATAAAACTTCATGTCACCGTGAAAGGCGCATGACAGAAAAGCAATCCAGTGTCTATGGTACATATTTGACGGTAATTACTTTTGCCTCCTGTTAAACAAGACAACATGTTTGAGGATAAAGCAAAATATAATCAGAAATGCTTCTAGCTCACCTTCCTTTCGTTTGCCGCTCTGGTCATTGGGTCGGGGTTTTTCATATTTCCCCTGCATAGTGTCGCCTCGTTCATTGTAACTTTTACCTCCAATGCATAACTCTTGGATACTGGAGTGATGTTTTGGCGGCAATTGGTTGTACAGGCCTACATACAACAATGAAGCATCAGTGTTGAACATGGATGTTGATGATGACAGGAATCAAGTCCATGGTTGGCTCTTATTCTCCTTGTTATCGGTAGACCAGTTGGTAGACGGTTTGTAGTTGAACAGTATTTTGGTATCTGTAACTTAGTGTTTTGCCTCTGGGACCTTGGTCTGAGCTAGGCAAGATATCTGTAGCTTGTGAAAGCTACACTATTACCCTACCATATTCTCTGCTGTGGCAGCTTTTCTCTTCGTATGATTCCTTTCGACGTAAGCAGTCAAAAGCGGTGGTCCACGTAGCGCTGTTTTGTATTCAGGATTCAACCCCGTTTGCTATTCGAAGGCACCTCTTTGGGAACACAGCTGGTCTTCGAAATGAGCACTCGCTTTCCAGGTTGCTTGCCGAGGGAACCGCACCGGAAATAGGTCTGTGGTGTTAGACAGTGGATTGAATATACGCTCATCGAATGTTATTCCGGCGTCAGTGATGCCTAACGAAAAGCTGCAGCTACTTACTTTATGCGCCGCTTGACAACCTGTATGGTTTTTCCACACCAGTGAATCCATGGAAAAGTCCTTTTTTCGTTGGACATCTTGACGAATCTTACCGCTAACATCACTAGCCGTCTTGGTCCAATTTCTCCCCCGATGATTTGTTGAGATCACAGAACATGTGTCAGCCAGTATTCGCCCGCATATCTTAAGTATCATGTTAAAAACCCATCTTTTTTATCCATTTTGTAGAAGAAGTATGACCTCCAGTGGCCGGCTCAGGTGTGGCTGTCCACCAACTGCACTACGGAATCGAGTGGAGTATGTACTCTGAAAGAACAAATGGCTCTTGATGTTAGTACCGCCAAGATTACACTGAAGCATGCGTTGAAGCAGCTGAACAATACCCGCCATGAATTGCGTGTACACAACACTCAGTCCGTAACTGCGCCGAACAATGCCATAATAGAAAAGACTTTGGTGACCGCAACCTCCAGGACGGCTGGACCAGTCATCGTCGGTCGTCAGTCCCAGAAAAACAATGTTGGACAACCTACTTCTTTCAGTCTCATCGACTCCGGCTCGTTGCCTTCAACCAAACATTCTACCCTTGTCAATACCCTCCGAGTTACTTTGACAATGCTACAATGCGAAAGACTGTCTGACATTCGACAGCTCGTGAAGCTGCTAAGTAGATACGAGTTAGCAAGTGTTCACTTACTTTCTGAGAATGACCAACCGCCTGAGGCTACCGAAACTCTGTCATCTTGGTCCTCTTGGTTGGAAAGCCATCAGGCTTGGACACATAATGCTTCCCAGCTATTGAAAAAGGTGTCAAAGTTTGTTACCCAATTGGATACCAACCGCATACTTTCCACACTAGATCGCAAACGGCTAAATGCCAGTCAGCTACGTGAACTCGCAGCAGAAGCTGACCAAGCCGCGTCTATTCTAGCTGACTGCAATTTGGTAGCCAGACAATTTTGGTCAGACCTGATTCAGCCGTTGTTCGTCGCCATTCGTCGTACGGTGAAGTCGGATCCGCGCTTATGTAACACAATTGAAACCTGTTTCGAAGGCCTTGAGAACCGTTTTGTGTCGTTACTGGACCTGCTAAAATCGGAAACACCATCGGATAACGTAGCGGAAACCCCACGAATGGAGTCTAGTACACGTGATTCCAGAACACAACTTGTAAGTATTTTTCTACACTTCCCACCACCCGTCCGTCTGTGATTTTTAGTCGTTCAATTGACCTCAGTTGCCCTCGAAGTTCCGATGTAGTCATTTCGAATAATAAATAGGCCCGAGATCTAAAAATACTATAGTTCGGACTATAGAATCTCTAAGCAACCAGTCAGTTTGATTATTGTCGGTCTGGGTGGAAACTCTCTCTGCTTTTTGTTCCCACTATAGATGTTTCATGTTTGAAACTCTCTGGGTGTAATAGAGAGTTGTTCCAGTGTGCACCATATTTACTTTGGTGCCACAATAAAACTTTGGTCCAGCTAAAGCGCATATTACTTCGGTCCCAGGGTACGCTACACGAATGTGAAAACATGAGTTAATACCTCCGTAATATCAGGAGAACTACTGTCGTGGTCCTCGCCTTCCACGATACTGAATGTCAACAGTGTTCCCTCAGCCGTGCGCTCTGGGCCGTTACGTAGTTAATTATCTACCGTACACTAAACGGTGTACCAGAAGGTGACATTTTTATTAGTGTGTAGATTTCGTCCCGAGAAGCACAGTGCTTCTCGGCTTTTCAGCATAGACTGGCTTCACTTACAGGACGAAATCTCCTCACACTACCAACAATTTTTATTAGTCTCACTGAACGTCCTTTAAACTTACTAACGATAATCCACTTGAAACAGGGATGTTCACTTCTCCTTCAAAAGCTTCAAGTTCTTATAAACGTGTTTTGAATGAATGGCACAATCTGCACTAGAAATCCAAATATCGGTGTTCACTGTGAAGGTGTCTGTTCAACAAGGTAGCTTATGTTGGTATCTGTCCGGTTACATGTGTATAGTGTAGTTATGTGGTGACGATCACTCAGTGCCTTTGTGTAGTTATTTTAGAATTCATCCTCACATCACTCTCGTTTAAACAGTTATCCTCCCGTTTTGGTGCAACCATTCTTGTGAGTCCACACCAAGCGGAAGAAGCACTGGACCCGAGTTTTGAACTCCGCACATCTGAAATGCTAGGCCGGTGTGTTACCAATACATCGCCAGCACACGCTTGACGCATCTGAAATGGCAAACGTGTCAGTGCTTCAGCGACGTGATTGGTTTGCCCGGTTGCTCGAACGATGACCCAGTAACTGTCTTGGTTGTTTTGATCGATTGTTGACCCATCTATCAGGACTACTCAACCAGGTAGCGCCCCAAACGCTTGAAACCTGACAAAGAAACTTCGTATTAGTTGTATGTGGTTGCGTTTTCAAGCGTCCGTGGTGCTCCCTGACAGGGAAGTCCTGGCGGATGGGTCAGTCGATCGACACAACCAGGACCGTTACTGGATGGTCGTTCGAGCGCCGGGCCAACCAATCACATTACTCAAGCGTGAGTATACTCGTCTGTTCAGACACGAATATTCAGGTACGTCCAGCGTCTGCAGTAGTAGACGTCTGCTCGCATGTCAGATATGCGGAGTTCAAACCCCTGCACGGCCATGGGTATACATTGCTGCGCATGTCAGTATGCGGAGTTCAAACCCGTGCACGGCCATGGGTATACATTGCTGATTAGCTCTAATGAGGGCGAAACTCGCGTAGATTAATATTTCTACCAGCCACAGCCGCATCAACGTTCGCCCTTAACCGGATTGTCAATCAAGTAGACGGATTTGGCGGACAAGTACTTTCGAGGCTGTATAAATTATGTACCGTTCAGTAACAACGGTTCCAAACTATTGACATATTGTGGGTTAGGAGTTCCAATTTGACAGTAATGCCTTTGTCTGTGATGACGATCGTTTTCGCGTGGTTTGTACTCCCTTTCGAAGCGTGGCGAACAACCTCAGTTTATGTGATACTCATCAGTTAATCCACAGTTGCTTCGATACAATGGCGGTATCCATAGTAAACGGAGAACAAACTGACAAACATCCCAAAACTTAAACGTGCTAAATGGACCCTTCACTCATCCTAGCATTTCTCCGACAAAGACGTTCATGAACAGCATCCAGACCTGCTCGGGAGCCGGTTATTTGTTCCTAAGACTAGTGGCGCAAGGTCAGGCCGGTTTGTCGCTCCTTAGAGTGTGGTCAAATAGTCTAATAGATTATGTATCCGTTGATCTTTCCAGTATTGTCGTCTCCGCACTCCGCAAATTGGTCAAAAGGCACATATTTCTTCCATCAGGTGCTGTCTATCGATTTCATAGCACCTCCGTTCAGCCAGGGTTGTAAGCGCTTTCTTTACATCAAGTGGCACTGGGAGTTAGGCCTTGACCTTGACTAAGGAATTCAGAATTTGTTGGATCAGCCTTTCTGGAATGGCATGATTGATGCAATTGGATTAATAGAAATTACGCGGCTGTCCAGCTTTTGGATTCTTGCGTTTAGCTTTCGCCGATGCCTCTGAATCAGTAAGTTTTGCAGAGTTTGCAAGCGGGGGAATAAAGTTCTGTTGTTCGACCGCGGACCAACACTTCGCTAGACTTCCGGGATTGTACAGAATACTGCGGTTGCATCTAATGCTGTTTATCGAAGATCGAAGCAGATGTGAATACTTGTGAACAGTCACTTCGTATGAAGGCTGGCGTTCCTCACTTCAGAAAACCTCCAGCTGTATGATCCAAGCTAGCTCCGATGTACATAACAGTTTATTAAACAACCTGCCCACGTGTATATCTTTGTAATGTACTACTCATAAGGCTGCTGAAAATCCAGCCCACGACCGGTTTCGCCCTTCTTGGGGCTCATCAGGTAGGCCCACATGCTTCATCTGGTGTGATCTGACCACCAGCGCTACAAAAGAGTTACAGACCGGTCTGTCTATCAATTTGGAACTGTAGCACAGTTTATTTCCAGAGATTATAAGCTGCCATTATGTTGAGGTATATATAGGTTGATTAGCGAAGGCTGGCATGAATACCTGAACCATCATGCAGTGTAATCTTCACGGCAGAAACCACATTGTCTACTTGAGAAATGTTCGTACGGGGGTGGAGCTACGGCGGCGAAGCATCATTGTTGAATTCTGATATGCTGTCGATGGTGATAATGTTGGGTGAAGCGCCAGCACCAACCAGTTCCCTTGCTTGCGATAGCTTGTTAAGTTGTCCCAACATCTCACCATAACTGCGGCACGTATCACTGCATGTTCTTGATCAACCTAAAAAAACGTTCAGCTGAATACCCTTTCGGTGCCTAACTGCCATGCCAGCCGAAGGGCTAGGATCCTGCCAGGTTGTCCAAGCCCAGACATGAGAAGTCGAGATGCAGAGGTCGGGTTCGTACCATGGACCTTCCAGTCAGTAAATTTGCGCTCTAACCACTGAGCCATCTCTAGCCTGATAGAGTCTCAAAGCGATATTTAACACAAATTTAGTGCCAGTCGAAGGACTTCTTGTTTGGTTATCCGCCGACCTGGACGGTTTGTGTCAATAGCAAAACGTTGCCTTGCAACAAACCCATCGATTGTTTGCCAGATCTTTCGTCTGTTGTTTTTTCGTGACCGGTTTTTTCTATATTTTAGAAATTGGAACCTTTCGAAAAACCTCTCAATCTGTATGCACTCAACGTCTGGCGTCGTGTTCGAAGCCGTATTTCCGGTTGTGATCCAATGCTCATCCCTCATCGTGGTGCCACTCGTTCACAAGCGCTCTTGGATGCTGAGAACACGGACCCAACCCCGACTCCGTTATCCGTGACCGAACAAGTTGACTTGTGCATATCCGCCGCAACGGACGTTGAGAATTTAGCCCTCATGTACGAAGGTTGGACCGCTTGGGTGTGATTCGAAGAAAAGCTAACAGAGGGTGCCCCTCACCGTCTCTTATCATCTCACATCTGTTCCGTTCAGATTTACCAGCGGTTCTACCAGTACAAAAGAGTCAGTGTGGTCGTGCCTGCGACGTCAGTGGCACAACACACGCAGGCTATGCGTTCAACGACACCAGAAGTTCTGCTACTACCACAGTCGCCACTTTACCACCACTATTATCCACCACCCAGAAGAGAGCATACGCAAGCACAGGCACGAAATGTTGGAATTTCAGGCCGCTCTATTCAGTCTGTCTAATAAAAATTGACCGTTCTGGTCGGTTCATCGGTTAGCCGGCCCAGTCGCGCGAGTCTTTGTTCCATTCACGTCCTTCGGGCAACCAGTCATCTCAAAGCCAACCAGTTTACCTCCCAGTCACTATGCGATAGTACCAACCAGCGTGTTTGTGTGTGTGTGTGTACGTGCTTGCCCAGCACCCGTGGACAGCGGGGGGAGAACTTGCGAGTTTTGCAACCGCCGAAACATGGTTGAAGGTTGATCTTCACCAGCCAAATGACATTCATGTTGCGACTAATACGAAAATGCTCCCATCTTTTTTTAAAATACTATTTTAGTTTTGAACATCCTATTCGTGATCCTGTGCATCGCTCTACGTACAATACTTGGTTTATTTTCCCGCATCCTACTCGCGCATTTGCACCAACAGACCTTATTCATTTGTTTGTTTATTCTGTCATCACCCGTCCTCTTCGTTATCCTTATCCATGTTGTGACGGTATTTGAAAGGCACGCTGATTTCTCGTCCCACGAGGTAAGTATTTGTAAACTTCAACGTTCGTTTGATTTATTAGGCCACCAATAGTAAATGTTTCGAAGTGCACCACACAAGTCCTCGTTATCTTGCTCTGCATGATACCCCTTTCTGGGAATCTGATTTTACAAACTTTGGGGGAAATACCCAGTTATGATTATTCTGAGCAGTAGATGGCTTGTTTTGGTGTGTTTCATCATTCATCGGGTCGAAAAATTATTCTAACCTCTGCATCGTAAGATAAGGCAGATGTGTGCGGCCCGTACTGTGTTGCGTTCTCTTACTACTCCCGATCAACTACCTGGGTCGGTGTAGTATTCAATGCCGTTGGTAACCGGTTTGGACGCCACTGCAGTGGCGTGAAAATACCCCAGGCAACAGCTCCAAAGGAGTGGCGCCGTGCTCGTGCAGTGTATGGGTGCCTGTTATCTATGCCATTGTCAGCCGTGTTCTACTCTATCGGTGTGGACAATCCACTTCGGAGCGTTAGGAAGCCCCATTATCACCGAGACGAAATGCCTGGAAAAGATAGTTTCAATATAAGAAGTCAAGCTAGTAACTGCTTGGAGGGCAAGGGAGCAATATCACTATTCGGAATGACTCGCTAATTGAGGAGTGGATCAACTCTGGAAGGTTTTTTCTTTGAACCCAAACTGGGCTTTTCCATTTTTCCTGTCTAGACATGACCCAACTGACCGTATCTCAGCTCTCATCCATCCTTCAAGTTGCACACCAGCTATGCACCGAAGGAGTGGTATATTTGAAAAGAAATGTCAAAACTTGGTCCCAACGATGCTGATCGGTCACGAGTTGTCAATATCCACGTCACCGTTGTTGCTTTGTTCTGTCTTCAGAGTTTGTAAACGTCTCCGCGTCTATGCTGAAACTCGGCTTTTCTTAGTGTAACTGACCGGCAAATGATCACCCCGGAATACAAATGATCTTACGTGCCTTCGGTAGAGCTCGTCGTCTACAACTCAGCAAGCTATTTATTTCGCTCTTACATGTTCAATATGTTTCAGTATTTCCCTAGGACGATACAGTGTTTGCGGTTCTACTACTTCTACTACTGTTTCCGGGTAAAGTAGTTTTCAAACAGTACTTATCACCTTGAAACTTTAGAACACGGTGTATACACATGTACTTCAATCGGAGCGAATGGATTTACCAGTTGGCGACTATATGCTTGTTCGGATCACTCATTCAAAGATGTTTTTTATCAGAAATTATGTGTCACTATCCCTCCGTGAAATGTCCATTTACCGCAACCATTACTACAACGCTGCTTTATCTCGGAGACGGACAGTTGCAAGCCTCCAACTCTGCTTTTCGAAACGGCACATGAAAATGTCGATAAAAAGGGATGTCCGCCGGGGTGTTTATCCCAATGATCCTATGGAGATTCATATTGGGTTCCGTGTCTACTCGCCTGGGCCTCAGTACGTGCGTCAATACAACTGAGGCTATGGTAGTTTGACGTCTCTGGTTCCTACACATAGCACGCTGTGCGCCTCTAGGAATGATGTCCGACCGTACAAATGAATTCGTCTTACCAGTTTCACAAGTCCAAGTTCGATAACCGACAATAACCATGAAAGCCAAGAAAAAGCACTGCATGGCTCCGTCGATTTTGCTTGAGGTTTATTCTAGAATACAGTAGCACTGTGGAGGGGCAGGTGTGTATACGAATAGACTTGGAGAAACGCTTGTTTGTTATCGCTTTAGTCCGTCTCCCAAGAATCATTTCGGAATTACATGGTATGAAAATGAAGCCGCTTTCCGCAACGTACAGTGGAAATAAGTTTTGATATATGCTGGAGATGAAGGTACTCAGAGGATACCCTATTCTGATACAAGCCCTCGGCATCCGTTTCAGCTGTCTAGTGGTAATCTACCAAGATATCCGTGTGTTAATTTTTCTGGTCGACCCAAATGTGACCTTGCCTCAGTAGACCGGTCCCAACGAGTGTGAATGTTGATTCCATTCCCTGAACTTCTGCACTTAACGCAAGCTCTTTGTTCGGTGGCGTTTGCTGATGTTATAATCGTCCCACTTCATGTGACCCTTGCTTTTGTTGTCAACATATGTCACTGATGACGTGACCAATGTGGCCGTCAGCTAGTTGTATCAATGGTGGGTTTACTCAGTTGTTGCCTGCTTCCTGTACGGCATGCTGAGTGTACTGTAAACTTACGTGTAAAGTTTCGTTTCTGTCTCCATTTATCAGTTTTTAGTCTCATCACTTCATGTCCGTGCTGTCAAAGCTTCATTCGGGTGCTATAACGGCTCAGATTGAACTGCATGTGACATTGCCTATCCTGGCAGCTGTTCATTTCAACCAATCAATCTATTAGCTATAAACCGTGTGCCATAGGCACATTGGAATTGAGTACAAGTTTTCTGTATCTCTGTGCCCTCTTATCCTGTTTCCTATGGTTCGTATCCTTCTGTCCTTCCACTACTGAATTCCCTTTGGCATAGAACAAGAACACTGGACTGAAATTCAGCTTACACAACTAGCATATATGAGTGACTTTTATTTTCCTTATTTCTCCGAATGTATAAAGGCCTCGTTCAATTGGACAATTAGATAATGGGTTATCATATTCAGGCGTTTTCAGTAATTTCCGTCGGTAACAAAAACCGAATTTGCGGGACATAGATATCTGATCTAGTTGTGTCAGATTGCGCCTACCCAAATGCGACTGTTGCTGAGTTGCGCACACCTATGACTGGCTCAGTATAACTCAAAGCTATTTTGCATGATTTACAGGTTACTTCTGGCGGAAAGACGTGGGGCTTAAAACTCTTGTGGGTTCGTTTCATCTACGCGTGCTGCCTGAGCTAGGCTAACGATGCTACCCAGTAATCAGCCTGTAAGTGACGCAGTTTCGGGCTGTGATGTGGGTGTGCTTGATCATTGTACTCGTTATCACCAGAGAGCAACATCGGTGTTGACAATGATGCATCATTGCCGAACAATCACAAGGTTTATTTAGCCATATTTGACGCCTTTGAGTGAAATAATGAAAAGCGGTATGGGGGTGCCTACAGCTCACAACGCTCAATCAGACAGTCGGGGAGAAACTAACAATGAATGCCACTAAGGTAAATGAGTCGTAGTTTCGTGCAATGTTTCCATTCAAGTGCGGGGAAGTTCACGAGGGTCCACCTTGGATGATGTTTCACATCAACAGCATCCAAACCCTCGGTTTCTTTTTCGCGTTCTTTCGTCATGTCACGTCCACCTCGCAGCGTACACCATTCTCAATGAGGCACAAAGAACATCAGTAGACGATTATTCGGGTTGCATACTGCTGGTCGGGACGCCGCAGTTGACGTTACTGAGTGTCTTCTGCGACCGAAATATCTGCTGCACAGCCGTTACGAATTTGCCGAGACCTGACAATACCAGCAACGATTCTGAAGGTCGTCGGTCCCCAACACAGCTCTTACCGTAGCCTCGTGCACGTGACTCGAGACCCACTGATATGCCATTTTGACGCCATGAGTGACGTGAATCCGCAAACGCTCTTCGGGCCTTCTAGGAAAATCAGCCGCTGTGACTTTCATGCTGGATGATTCAGTTCACTGGATGCCGTATCTGGGTGTCTTTCTCTGATGTCACTCAAAGTGTGGAAATGCGGTTAAGCTGCATGACGAGAAAACACGTAGTAGTCCGAATCGTGCCTCGAGGACTGCATCCTGGAATGTGTTGACGTCAAATTAATGTTAAATTACTCATATGCGCAAGCCACCTGCATGTGCATGTTAGCGGATGGTCAACTTATGCACCCCTTTTGGCGCGGATATAGACCGTGTATCACGGCAACGTATGGATGACGTAATCAATTTTCTCTCCAACTCTTGATTTCGGTCACCCTTATAAATTCGTGTGTCCATTTGTCTGAGCTTGATTTTACCTGAGAGTAGGGTTCATACAGGTCATCCTGATTTTACCGTAACCCATTGACCAGTTGACTTGCATCAAAACCAATATTTTGAACTTTTCAGCAACAATTTAGTAGGAAAAATAACGTTCTGTGAAATTTACGAAGCGTTTTTGTCCCGATGAGAACTTGGTCCGTCAATCGAACCAGACACAAGTAAACGTAAAAAAGTTGCACAACAGACAAACCCATTCCCGTAGGGTTGGCACCAAACCGAGTGGCTGCTACCGTTTTTACTTGGAAACTTTTGTCAATCCCTCGACCCCACACAGCATTTGTTGTCGCTTCGCATCCAACACCGTTTGTTTCAGCGTAGCAGATGGCACTAGTCTGTTGGGTTAATCTCTTCATGTCCAACATAACAACTCGAGTGTTCCCGCTCTTGCAGATTGGACTGGACAATATGAGGTTCGCGCTGATTTGGTCACTTGGAACCCAAGTGAGAGTTAGAATCGACTTTGCATTAACAACTTGAGAACGCCAATATGATCTATTCACCCGTCATCACCATGGCCGTAATACATTCCGGGATGTCCATCTGCCCACCTTAATACTAGTGAGCGCCCAGCCTTCGCTAGTTTTCAAACAGACGAAACGCACCACGTCGCGGCATCCGCAGTCTAGGATGACTGTTGGACATTATACCAGAAAACAGTGGTGTTCGTACACTTCTGGTAAACCTGATGAGCAATATGTTTGAAACCCTCTAACTTACCTACAGTCCTTTTTCCCAGCGCTCCACTGTTGCCGACCGCAAGAATTCAACACAATGTCTGCTCTTATGGACTCTGGCGTCATCAGCCTATTCAGAGGGTCTTTTCCGGTTGACGTCAGAACTAGTACAAGTCTGATGTCACCGATATATATGCATACCTTGTGCAGTGCAAATTATGTAACATTTTAGTCCACCTGTTATAATTCTATATCAATATTCTGACAGGTCCCCGTCGATGATTAAGGACTCCGGAACTTTTGCGTGTATTCGAAAAAGGCTACTCTGCTTTCATTACGATTTCCTTCTACTTGCATAGCATTTTAGAGTCACTTTCCGTTTCTGTTTGAAGACTTACATAAGTTTCCTTATCCTTGGGGTGTTTCGACGCTGTCTGTGCTCTCTGTTTAAGCTCCTGAGGATAAGCTGTTGATAAAAAATTTAACAGATCCTGTCGGACGTCCTGGAAATAGAAATAACTAATACAGCTCATTCTTAATAAGAATGTTTGCGTTTTGTTTGATCCGTGATCGAAAGTTATGGTTCAATTCAAGAAGAAAACTAGGCGCCTTGCGAGTATTTTTCTCCGATGTTCTAGTGTTGAAATTTGGAGCCTGACACCTTTGCGAGCTAATAAGAGCATGAGTTGCCACCTTTATATATGGCCCTCGAAGTCACTTCTGTGACATTAGGTGATTTTACCTCTGTCGATTGCATTGTTTGTCCCTCCTAGTTAAACAGAACAGGGCAATGTAAAGTTGTTCACAAATAGTGTCGGCGATTATCAGGCATGACCCAACTTGCAAAATAAAGGTAATTGAGTAAGTTTTAACTTACAGGGACAGCGTCTCTGTCTAGGATCATAGAGATGTCCAATCAACTGCTCGTTCACACTCGCCAGAGAAACACCCAGAATGCCGAGAAACCACTGCAAGAACACACTCGGCGCGTAACACAAGAGCTGATCTGCTCGGAATTCTCCTGTTCATGTAGTTAGTTGGAAAATTCCTAGAAACATCGGATCATTTGGTATAAGACATTAAGTAGGACATATGTGGATGTGATCTATCAGAGTGGCATAAGTGAGTACCGCAGTTCTGTTTGGGCTGCCGACCAGGATACATTTTCGGCTCAGGCAAAGCAGGCAGTTGTCTTCTGCTCCCACCTAATAACTAACCTGGATCAGTGTTCAACTATTGCATGGTGCGGTAGTTCTGATACGCGACTATCGCCCTTAGTCGGTGAGGGACGCTCATGTATACTCATCAAAGCTGCTGCAACTTGACAAGGAATAGTGTAAACATATTTTTTTATCAGAACTTGTTGAACGCCGGTGTACCCTTGGTGATGTCAGAAAATACGTTACCCAAGCGCGATAGGTTTTGGCTTTTCCTTCAACCGAGTCTTCACTTGACCGGTATCTCATAGTAAGAAATATCCTTGGCATACACTGCGTTTTCAACTGTTCAGTTGTTCCCGTGTGGTCTGACAATCATGGGCCACTAGTTTGAAACTGCTCCCTCTGGTCTCATTTCTTTCGGGTTACACCGGATACAGGATATTCAAGTAGATGCACATGTTGCTCAGTGCAAACATGTGAGATTGCTTACTGTGCCGGTGGTCGGTGACATAGTTCGATTTGATAAACCAATCTGAAAACGGATGTCGACTCACTGTGTGCTTATATACCTGATTGTTCTCTCCCCCCCCCCTCATCTCCCTTCCAATCTGCTAATTTTTTCTGAGTTAACTTATAGCGTAATGATTCTGTTCGTTTCATCGACTATATTTATCTTTGTTTCACCTGCACTTCAGATCAACAGGTCTGTGAAGACGTCACTATTTTGCTGACTTGTTTCGAAACGGTCCGTCTCTCTCCCCTCATTCCATCCATCTACTTCAATGGAAGACACAACAACTTTATCTTTGGATTTACGCCATGCCCAGTATCCTACCGTTTTGTGTGACCTGTGTGGTTTAATGCGCGTTGTTATATAGCCGCTCACTTTTTGTGTCTCACTTCCTGTATGTGTAGATTTTCTCCAAATTTCATCGTAATAATAAACTTCCTGTTTTTTGTCATCCCTGGTAATGTGTTCCTTAAATGAGGTCTGTCGATGTGTGCCCGTCGGAGTTAGTTTTTTCCCCCGATGTATTGGCTTGTTTTAGTGGTCTCTCCTTGTGGTCAGTCTGTGAGCTGGCTGTTTGACTGACAATCCGTCTTGTCGCCACATAATACGGTGACCCCAAAATAAACGGCTAGCGTGTAGGATTGCTAAATTTCCTCAGGGGCGATTCTCACTGAGGGATGGGAAGCGTGTAGATCAGCAAAACGGATCAATGATAGTCTATTATCGGTAGAATCTGCCTTCCGAGATGATGTTCGCGCGACCGTGGGCAGATTGCGATGTAAAAATGGGAACAGCCTTATTTAGTGATTCAATCATTGTGGTCGAGTGTCAGAGGTTTAGACACTTCGGACAGGCCTTCAAAACCCCAATATTCATGTCTTTCGAAACGAGAGTCTCTCACCTGGAATATGCAGGCGGCATTGTTCTCATTATTTAAAAAAGAGCAGAAAGCTCAAGCATTACTTGGAAAGCCTACCAAGGTCATCCAATGCTTCGCACCCACAAAGTGTAGAACGTAGTCTTTGAACATGCCTCTAAAAACCCAGGGAGTAACACTAGAGGTTGTGGAACAGTATGCGTATCCCGGAAGTCGTATTAGCTCTGATGTTAATGTGGCAGAAGTGAGCGCGTGAATCCCAAAGGCCGTAACTGCGTTTGCCGATTCGCGCCATATGTGACGCCAAGAAAGGGTTTACTGTCTCTAAGGACGCGTTTATCAGACTACAGTGCGTCCTGTACTGTAATACGGCTGCAAGCTTGTCCACTTCGGGCGGAGGATATGGGACACCTTCAGGTCTTCGACTAACTATATCTTAGAACTATAGTGGGAATCGACTGAAATAAGCGAATTCGCAATGACGGTGGACGTAATATAGGCAGAGAGTACTTCGCTCAAAGAATGTATTCACTGCAAGCTCTGATAGCTAGATATGCCTGGTTACCGCCTGCCCAGATAAGTATTATTTTCCGTGTCCAATCCGGAGTGATTAAGACTTAGAGGTGGACAAAATTTGACATGGTACAGGGGAATGAAGGATGCTACGAACAGCTTGGCTGCTGTCCGCCCTCCAGGATGAGGTCCACGTGTTTGGCTGCGGACAATGCACGAAATAGCGGCTACTTGGTTCAAGTAGCGCCCGTGCTTTCCGTCTTGTATCCAGATTGATTGAGTGTTGCAGTTGTAGGCATCCCGGGTATTTTTCGTGGGCCAGCCCTAGGTTCATCCCTTCCCCATTTCTTTTGAGTATAAGGTTTTGTCGAAGTAAATTCGCATAGCTGTTCGGCAGTGAAGCACCGGTGTTGTCACCAGATATTGCTGTCAATGCCCTGCACATAACTGAGTGACGCAAAATTGGCTATCTACTTTGTCTAAGCGTCCTCGATCTTTGCCTGTTATCGCTACGGTCTTGCCTTTTTTAAAGGTAATACCAGGATGTACTATTAGGGCGCTAGAGCCTCGTCCATTACTCGTGCTTTCACGTGACTGATACAGGAGGGCTTTAATATCGCGGGTAGACACAAGGACCTTGGCTAGATTATGAACGCCGCGACAAAATTGCAAGACCGCCATGTTTTCAGGGATTTGTAGTTCCACTTTCGAGATGTGCTACCCATACAGACGGTGGTATTTTTTTGGATAAATTAACAGGCAATCTTAGGTCAATTTCATCCCAAACATTTCGAGGTCATCCGCAGATTACGCTCCCCTCGAAAATGTGAAGTGTACCCATATTCAGTCCTGCTGATGGTTCACAAGTTGCCACTACTGTATTTCAGTACTACGGTGCGGGAGGTTGAAACGTTTGGTTCTATCCTTTCCTAATGGACGCTAATGTGATCACACCTGGGCTGTACACCTTACTAGTGGAGACGTCCCGACATGTTTCGTAAAATGTCCTTTTAAGTTTTCTAAGATGAATCAGCATAACTGTCAATGTTCCCACTCAGAAATCCGACAGTTTGGTGTGAAATTAGTTTCCCAAATGTGTTGCATACATTCCTGAGCATATATTAACTCGATGACAAGAAAACCCGAAAACGGCGTTTTATCTCGATTCAGTGGGAAAATTTTCCTTCAGAGTACACTTGAGTAAAAGCAAAGACTTGAAGACAAACGGGAATATGACAGAAATACTGGATGATTTGACAACAGTTCACTCAACCGATACAATACTCTAAAATACAAGGTGCGGAATATCACCAAATTAATGGTAATGGGAACTTTACGAAGAAGACAATAAACAAATAAATGCAAGTCTGAAAATTCCCTTTGAAAGTTTCGTGGAACCCCGGTTGTGTACATCAATGTATTTACTGGTGGATAGAATAAGATGAGAACACTGTTAATTGACCTAATAAAGCCACTATAGGGCGATTTTATTTATCTACACTAGCATGAGCAACACCTTTTGATAGTCACTAAAGAGGAAACTGCATAGACCGAACGTTACTCCTCTGAGTGGAGGAACTCAGCCTTAAGGACGGGCTCTGTGCTCCGCGGCACCGATACTAACACAGCAATCCCGATGGTGGTGATATAGAGGAAGAAAAACAGTCTGTCCAACACCAGAGCCAGGGTCCGCCACTCCATGGCGATGAGACTTTTTCTGTGGATTTCCTTCTGTCGATTGACAAACATTTTCACGTAGCGTTTCACCTCTCGAACATCACGCTCCAAAGTTACTGTGGATTCCAGTAAGTCAGGAGAATCATCTGACTCTCCGGCCTGGGCTTTGCCTGGGGTTGGAACTAATCCACGGTGATTCTTTTTCGACGGTCGTTGTGAAGCTACCGGTTCATTCACTGTAGTCGGTTGCTCACAACCGTCACGAGGCCCCATGCAGCTGCAAGTCACAGTGTCAAAATAACTCGGATACATTGGTCCCATCACCTTACCAGCTTGTGGAAACGGCGGTCCGCCACCATACATTTGAGGACAGGCACCCTGAATACAATCCGGACGAAGGCGGTTGTTCGCCCCATAGTACCCTACTCGACTATCTTCTGCAGTTGGTGTGTAATTGAGAAAGAATTTGTTCCCAACATGCTCGGGTATAGTAGGTTTGGAGCGCCCTTTCACTGAAGTTCCTCGAGGTGAGCAGGGTACGACGGGCTTCTTCACATCGGGCAGAGGTATGCGCTGTCGAACGTAGACTAGTCGTCCGATTCCTTCAATGACTATCTGTTGAAGATATAAGTGTGGAGTGATCAGTTGTTTACAATACGAACTGACTGCAGACTTACAAAGTTATGCTCTGTGTTACCTCGGCCAACGAAGTTGACTGGAAATACTGACTGTCCCAGCCTTTTTCGTTACCCCAGGTGTCAGTTATTCTCACTGATAATTGAGTAATCCTGTGCATGTACTACGCTGATCTTGCGGTGGTGGAAAGTGGGTAAGCTAAACCGGATAAGTTCACGATAAGTGGTTGATTCGTTCATAACGCATGATCGAGTGAACGATGATGCATTGTCGACTATCATGCAAAAATGGTCTGCCGACAATTTCAGATGCTTGAGATCTTTTTGCTGAGTATCCTACATCACGTGGGCAAGTGAAAGTCCAAGTAAGCAGGAGCTCATGGAACATGAGTTGCCCCGAAATACCGAGTCTAGTGAATGCCAAGCCATAAATTGAAAGTAACCTCACTGTCAGACAACGTTCACTGTATTCCCTGGTTTACCACTAACAACAACGCCTTGTGATGCCAAAGATTCGTCTTCATGAAATTCCTGAAGAGATCTTTTGATGTTGAGGATGACACAGTCAGTTGACTCAAGTCATCCAGTAAAACTATGTCAGCCAGCTGCCGCTTTCATCTGCCAGTGAGCAATGCACCTTCACTGCTGCATCGTGATGCTACGTAGACTGTTAATCCTTCGCCTAGAAGTTGGGAGTATTTTACCAGACAAAATCGCATGCATTAGGTGTGATCTGTATGAATTGTTCCTGCCATACCGACCAGGCTTGTCAACGCATCCCAAAGGGGTGCACTGCGACCGTCACTTGACCCTTGTCTATATCCGAATATGGTAGACGAGTACAGTCGATTTTTTAATACTTATGGGGATATGTCTCATTAATGAGCTCTAAAGACGGCGAAGTTCGAGCCCGGTCTCCGCCTTTGTTATAAAATGACCACGATGTACCCATAAGGCAACAACATTATTCAACCGAGAGTAGGCTGGATGCACATAGTGGATCTCGGACCATAGTGAAGATTTTCCTTGCATTTACGTTTTTAAGTGCATACACCTCTCTTGAACTTACTGGATCGAAGTCCACCCAACAACTCCGTATCGGTTTCCCCCACTATGGCCATTTTGGGCTGCTCCGTGTTGTATCTTCTGCCAGAAAAACCATGTGACAAGTTCTCCTCTAACGGGTGTAAGATCTACAGTAGATTTGTTCCTGTTCAGACAGCTACACAGCTTATCTCCTCAAATTAAGTAAAGCACATAAGTAACACATCAAATACACACAAGATTGCTGAAAACTCATCGACAGCCCACGATCGGTTACGTTCTTCTTGGGGCTCATCAGGTAGGCGCAGTCCCTGAGTTTTCCGTCAACCTTATGATCTACTTGAACCCAAATTGCACTGTTTTCGAGAAATACACTCCTTTATGAAAATATACTGCGATATCTTGAATATCGTGACAACTGAATCATGAGGCGGTCTGTGTGCAGCACTTTCAGTTGCAGAATATCATAAACGAGAGATTCAGTTGAGTCTCCCGTGAAAACCAAATTGATTTGCAAATGAGTGTATTTCTCGACATCACATACACTTTTTTTGAAGAAGTGCATCATGTTCCAACGTCCTTTGCTGCCACTGAAGCGACTGTTTATTTTATTTTCCTGTCAGGAGTCACCGCAACCGTTAGACTTGAAAAAAGAACCTAAAACGTGTCCCCCTACGTTGTTTGTTGCAGGCAGTGCAGGATGACTGTTCAAAACCTGATGACCTGTGTGCTGCAGATTATGTGGAAGCGTATTAGTGTGCTAATGACCACGAGGGACTCCGTTGGCTCTCCAGTTACAGCAATTTCGTAGTGCTCAAGGGTATCCTTTCACTCCTTCATTGCGGTACAAACAAGACGACGTACGGTTGCTATTTATGCCGAAGTGGGTATATAATCGAGTCATTCAGAGCGTAATAAATTTCACCTTCGCGTATCCGTACCACTCTGCGCTCGGGCAGTTTATCATCGTCAAACCCTACCCGATAGATTTCAGGCCCATATTCTGCATCGTAACACTCACCCTTCGAAGAAACGCTGGTACCGATCCGTTCCTATCTCCACGGAAATAGAGATGAATGACGAGAGTCGCCAAAAACGTTGATAAGGTGATCATGATCATATTTAAGCAGAAGAAAACACCTGGAAATCAGAAAGGGATGGACAAATGAGAGTTTGATTGCACTCGGCTGGTGAAATAGTGGTTGGAAGAGCCCAACCACTGGAAAATCGCATTTGGTTAAGTAACTTTGCAGTCCTTCATTACTGTCGGAAACGACACCTCTACTCCAGAGAGAAGAGTCTGCCTACCTCCGTGAATTGTTGGCATTGAAAGACACTGATGCCTTTACTGGAATCACATAATGATTGCTTAGGCAAAAGGGAGCATGCAACTGTGGTAGGCTTAAGCACCAATCTCTATGAGCTTTTGTTTTTCACCCAGAGTTTCCAGGAAGGCAGTGGATATGAGGGATGTGACGATGGCAACCAGACGGTTGCCGCACATAAACCACAAAGGCAAAGGTCAAATTCTCCAGTTTGATGCAATTACAGTGATAGACACCAGCTCACAAGTTTTGGACCGAGGTTATTCATTGGCACAAAGCCAGGCCAATTTTGTTTCGGTGAAATCCGGGTGCTCATTAATTTCTGCTAAATTAAGGTTGTATGGCTGTGAACGTCATTCGTAGGAGATGGATTCTTTGTCCGTCAAAGTTAAAGGTAGCTCTCTAATGCGACCAGAGTCGTCTGGTCCTTGAAGTCATAATAGAAAGGTCATTTAGCATTTGTTCTATGTGAATGTGAGTTACTTGCATGTGTCGGTCAGTTTGCACTAAAATCGGTCACAGTGGGAATTAAGTCTAGGCACTGCATGAGGGGAGAGTGCTGATTTCTTGTACGAAAATATGTTGATGGCAGTCAAGCTGCTGTGGGACTAGTGTTGTCCATCATTTTCCATCATTTTCATTCGTTCTATTTCCTCTATCTTTGGAGATTCCCTCTATCACGGGTTGATATTCGATTTGGGACTTGAAAGCAGAGTATCTATCCTACAGATTGCTGTCGAGAATCATCCACACGCAGGAAGAGCGAGTGCAGCACATTCAGGAAGGGCGAAATCGGTAGTGGGCTGTCGAAGAGTTTTCAGCAACCTTATGAGTAGTGTCTCAAGAGGGAGTTGCATATATGCACCCATCATTGGGCTACGTCATTGCTGAAGTCGAAACCACTAAGTATATCTGTCCCTAAGATTGACATCATTAGCTCAAGCCGATTTCCATTAGAAAAAATAATTTCGGTCTTTGTTAGTGGTAATCCCGATGTGATATTCGATAACAAAATAACCAGATGCATGTTTGGGTCAGTCTCTGTAATAAACGTCTCATTCTCAGTGTTCTTTTCAAGAGCGCACATTCTCAGGACTGGTGAGAATATCGCTTTCCTTGAGAATGGACTCTCCTTGATGATCTGCTCTTCCGTAGCGTTTTTCTGAATGAGGTGCTATGATGGAAAGAGCGAAAGGAACTATTCTACCCATATACTAGTAATGAAACTGGATATGACCACCGTGTAAAACGGTCAAGGGAAAAATAGTCAACCTTTTGTCATTGGTTGCCGTGCAAAGCTGAAAATATTTACACTTTACCTGACAGAAGACAAACAAATAAAAATACGGAACGTATTCAATATACTTTCTGGTTTGATTTGTCATTAGTTTTATGACGGGCGTTTATCAGCTGTTGTCCATTCTTACAAGGTGGTTCAGTTTCTTATTGATTTCTGTGCAGGATATTCGGACATCAGGCGCGCAAACTTTTTAAAATATATTATGAAATCTGGCTGTGATTTTCTGGGTAAATATATTCTTCCAACAGTCCTGTTATGGGCTGCAATCTTGAAGAAAACTGCATTAGGGAAGTAATCTACTGAACGGCACCCCACAACCTACTTTAATCAAGTGGAATGTCTAGTGCAGTTCCCTAAAGCTTTTCGAGCAAGAAACGGGTGAGTGCATTGACGTGGTTCATCAAATTAGCCAATCGTAAGCACGTGCTTATACACTTCTGGGAATGCACAGACGTCGCGTATAAGCTTTGTGCTTTGTTTCGTATCACAACACAAGTCGCATGAAGCGTATATTTTCTGTATCCCTTCTTCACTCTCGGACATATACGAAATGAGAAAATCGGTAGGCTTCGGAACAGTTTATTTCAGAATAAATTTCAGTAGTTAAGACTGAACTCGCATTAGTTTGGAAATTAGCACCAGTTAGGCGAGTCACGTGCTCCTATCACTTGACTTACCGGTCATGTGAGCTCTTACGCCTGTATGGCTTGTTTTGAAATACAGATTTCAAGGTGGCGAACTCTTATGTCAGTGGCTTCTACAGTAGTTACAATCCTCGTTCGGCAAGTTTTCCGGCACTTTGTAGATAGATGCAGAGTCTGTTACGGTACTCCATGGTTCCCAATTCTGAAGCAATATAGCAAAATCCTAGGTCACTCACCCTTAAAAGCCTCATAAATTTCCTTGCAAAAATTCTCTTATTACTCCGTGAAAGAAGCTAACAATTTATTGGATTTCTGTCCAAAAAGGTTATGATTCGTAATTACCTTTACGGGAAATTTCCAATTACTGTCTTGAACTCCGAAAAAAACTAGAATTTTCTACCGAGAGATATGCTTTCCTTGCTTTCCTTGAAAAATCAAAGTTCGTTCTCATAGTGTGCTGCAATTCGATTGAACGTAGAAGATTCATCGAGAATATCGTTTGACTCATGTCATCAAGAACTATTGCTGTCGGGGCGGAAGGTTATCTTTCTTCCAGTTCAACGGGAGCAGTTGTAGTGTCCTGGCGGCGCGTGCAGGCTACCGGAAGCCATCGATCGTTCAGGTGGTCAGCTTGGACTGGTCTCAACAAATCTATCTGTTTGTCCACACTCGTCACCAACTCAGCAAGGTGCTTCATCTATCTCAGGCAGTCCGTCTGCTTCATTTCTCCAACTAAGACATCTGGGATCGCCTGACTGAGTGGAACCGGAATGACGAAGGCATTGAGTTCGCGTCCGTCGGAAGCCCGAGGCGACAGACGCAGCGACGGCACCAAGTGTAGTAGTCCCTACTGGCGATCTCCGGTTCTATTAGGTAGCTGTAGCTGCTGCAAACAAGGCCAAACTTAACGATTTTTCCGGTCCTGTTGGCTGTTCACGTCTTGTCCATCAATCCAGGGGTAGACATAGGACGACCACGATAGAACGTTGAATGTGAGGATCCATACTCAATGAAACCTCAGTGCTCCACAAAGAGAGCGGCAAAAAGAAACTAATAGTTTTCCCCATCTTCCATAGGGCGTATACCGGGTTGGAGCTGTTTGAGATCGCCTAGTGTCCAGTCCACAAGAGGATGTAGGATAATTTCAGCAAGATTACTGGCGGTTAGGCCGACACAAATATTTCGAGTTCATCTCACAGCCGCACGATTGACGACTTTTGGGGGTTCAACCAAAAACAGAACCATGTTGATGCAACTCGGGTTCTGTAAACCAGAACTGGCGATTATAAAGGTACGTTTTCTGTTCTTGCTTCAGAATCTTAGTAGTAGATAGTACAGAGGACAGTTACAGCGCGATGCGATTGTACCATAATATACGGTTAAAACGTGTGAAAGTGCATAAACGGATGACCAATCCAACCTACCAATGAGTGGAAAGTTCCTTACGGCACTCGGAGTTGACTCGGCCAACAGGAGCAGCAAGATGAAGAAAGCGACAAAAATGTTCATTCCTGGGTAAGATGAGAAAAAGGGCGCTCGATTAGCTCGTTTAGTATCACTTAGTCCTTTGACGATTAAAAGAAAGCAGGCTGATGGTGAAATGGCCCACTAATTTCATGGTTACTCCATACTTAATACACAGGTGGATGTATTTTGGTCCCATTTCAATCCTATGGGACGAGTTAACTGTGGCTTGTCACGCTCAATGGCGTAACACAGGACAATGGAGCTTTTAGAGTTTAAATGATATCAGTCTACGAAGGGAGACCGGTGAACACCACAGCAGTTTCATTTTTGTTGGAATCACCAGTAGTATGTCACGCAAATCTTTGGCGAGATTCAAGGCCGCCATCTACACGTTAGCAGTTCTACACCACGTGGTACGACCAAGAGTGGCTGATCGGTAACGTGAATGTGACAGGATATAGCGCCTTTATGCTTCAGTCATGCAGTTCCCTCATATGATGCTGTGTTGACTTCTTGTTTGAATGACGAGATTTCAGACAGAAGACCTGAGCTACTCGTTGGAATTTTCTGTTCAATGTAGCCCGCTCATATGACACCTGGTCAGGATAATATGTGCATTTAAGGCGCTTTGGTCCGACGAGTTACAAACGGGCACGTCAGACCTGTTTCAAAGAATTTACTGCTGTTCAAAACATTCTACTGTTATTGTTCTCTCGAGCGGTTCGGTGGTACGTACACGAAATCTACACGGGCGACATCCGTACATCCCTAGTTAAAGTTTATATCGCTGGCGTTACGTGTTCTTGAACGCCCCAAATGACCGTATCGTATCTTTCGTCACCTTGAAATTAACTGACGAATTCACATGCGCCGGTGGCACCAAATAACTTGGCCGAATAGTGAGTACTTTGATAATACTCATCCGTGAGCGACTTCTAAGATGAATCACAGAGTCCTCAAACAAAATATCACTGACAGTCGTTGGACACCAATCAGCCCGTTAACCCAAACTCAGCTGTCTGGATTACTTGTGGTTTTGCTAAAACCGTCCGCGCAAGGTGGACCCAGCATTCAAAATTAACTGGTTGTTACTCTGACATTTCCCTGGCGAGTAAATATCCCGTGGTGACCTCGCAATTTTAGCCGTTGAACTTCATTTTAGAGGAATACACTCATTTACATACCAGCTTGGTTTTGACGGGAGACTCAGCTGGAACCCAGATAAATATCTCGTTCATGATGTTCTCAAGCAACTGAATGTGCTGCACCAGACCATCTCGATGTTTCAGTTGGTACGATATTCGAGATATGACGATGTGCTGTACAGATGCAGTGCACTATTCACAAGGTTCTTCAGTTTACTTAATGCAATACCATTTAGTTTTGTTTTCTTTGCATTGTGCTATATTAGCCGCTCACCCACCCTGTTTTATTGTAATGACGGCCTTAGCTTAAACTACGGTGATCTTTAAGACATGACTGACTGAAATCGATCTGCATTGATTATATATTAGCCGCTCACCCACTCTGTTTTATTGTAATGACGGCTTTAGCTTAAACTACGGTGATCTTTAAGATATGACTGACTGAAATCGATCTGCATTGATTTGTCCATCGGTAGGCAATACGCCTTATACTCGGCGTAAGCGCTAAATCGTGTGTTAGCAATCCTGAATCGATTATAGCATTCACTTTACTGAGTTGTACTGTACTTCACTATATTGCATTGTACTGTACTGTACTATACTATGCAGTACTCCAACCCATTAATGATGCCGTTCAGGACGGCTCGTTTCAGTGATTACTTAGGGAGCATCCTTTAGCGTTTGAAGAAATCCTACATTTTCAGTGTGGTTTTTTAGTGATCAGTAATACAAGTGAACATTGCTCTTACGATTCCATGGCAACTTTTCAGGCGGTGCATTTGAAAAAGTTGATAATGAGTTTGACTCGGAATTCTAACTTCCTTGTATCCTCCACGATGTCACTGCACAATACTTAAGTTCCGATTGAGTCTTCCATCTGCGGCAGTTGATATGTAAATGAGTAATTTTTCAGCTCAAAAGGCATAGTACCGATTCCAGGCAAGAAGTACTTTTTTTCTACTGATTATGACAAGGGGCTCAAGCTGTACATACACATGGTAGCTGGATTTCTGGCATTCCAAACACACATTAAATCCAGTCGTCGAGGTATGTGCTTTTCCTCAACCTAAGCAAAATCGAAAACTTTCTCTCGGTACACAGCTGCATCCGATTGATGTTTTGAGGATCAACCGCTCGAACTCGCCTTGCAAGTATTGGGTGACAGATGCACTCTGCGCCAGTTCAAGCGAAGTTTTACTGGCCTCACACCCAAACCAACGGCATTCTGCTGAATAATTACGTCCTCGAATTAGCATTTTACAGGAGTCACGCGATCAAACCACACCCTACAGTCATGAAATTGCAGGGCGTCACGGGTGACCCAATCTGTCGTCACAATACAAGCTCGTTCAACCATTTCCATTTTTGCGTGTCTGTGCCAAACTGACTGATCCCTTACTCTGTTGGACGGCCGCAGTGGACTTGCCTTATTCCTTTCATTCCCTGGGTCAGTAAACGCTTGACTGCTAACTACCCCCATTCATAGCATGCTTCTACTTTGGTGTGCTAATTTCCTGTAGTCTTTGGTCTTTTGTAAACAGGACTGATAACCGCCACATTAGTTGTGTTGAAAAGACGTGACTCTCTTAGGGTCAGGCAAATAGCAGTGATTTGAAGATGGAGTTTTCCGAGTCCTTGAAAATACGTCTATTTCCCCTCTTGGATGCAAAATTGAACGAACGGACAAAATAAACATACCTGTTAGAGTCCATCGCTTATAAGAAGGATTTTGAAGGCTTGTCCACTCTGTGTGTGTGTGTGTCAGTACGGAGAACTAATAACATTTCCAGACTGTAGGACATATTTTGATGTAAAAACGTACTTGGGAAAAGGAAGCCACACTAAGTGGCCACGGCGAACAGTAGTGTTAAAGCTCTTCTAACGACGCATGAACGTCACTCCGATGCTAAAAACACTTACCTAACATCATCTTCGCGGGTGATTCCGGTGGAAGCCAGAAGACAACCAGAGTGAGCGATGACAATAAGACACATGGAATAACCAACATGAAGACGTAGAAGCTTGGATTTCTGCGTAGGCGTACGAGATAGCACAAAACCGGATATTCTCGATTCAGAGTTTGATTGCCGACGGTTTGGTTGCGACGTCGATATCTTTTCACTGATCGAATCTGTCGGTTGCATAAAAGTGCAACATTAATTAAATAACCCACAATTTACTGTTGAATAGTTTGGATTGATGGTCACCTTCAAGTTGTCTTCCTTACTGAAAAGAGCGGGGGTGAGTTCACCTGTGTGAATTCTAATTCGTGTGGGTTTAGCAGAGCGTCATGATCTGACTGACCACGTGCATGCATGTGAAGAACGATATGATGATATTTACTGGGTTGAAAAATACCACTCAAGTCCTCTACATCAAGGGCAAACGAAAGTCCGGAAGTCCACCCTGTTGGCATCCCACTCAGATTTGTCTTACTTTCGCATGCCACCTAAATGCAACCGGTGACACCCATGAAAGGTCACGAATAAGCATTGTTTTCCGATACTGTTTATCTGGCAAATGCATTCCCAGGTTATTTAAGTTAGACAAAGAGCCAGGTATATCCACCGGTACAAGCGTAAAAAGGGGGAAGTCAAATGGATTACGTCACAGCCAAACAGGTAGATTTTTTACTTATTAGACAAGGTGATCCTTCACAGAAAACAAGCTTTGTTCGTTTTCCTTGTCCTATTTTTCTACATGCCATCAAAATCGGGCCGCATACCATGACGCGGCGGTTAGTTGTTGTGTGAACCATGGCGTGGTAGCACACATACCAGTAGGCTAGACTCGTAGTTCGTTTGCCCAACTGTCGCCTGTGGCGTACTTCAGTTCCGATTCCAACATCACAAAAATCACGAATTAACGTTAGGTTCAACTCAAGCCTGAAAGACACTGAGTTAGTAGATAGGGCTTCGAGGCCTTGGATACTTTGGTAAGACAAGAGTAGTAGCGTGGAAACATTTGTGGGTGGGTTTCAGGGTTTTAAACCCTGAACGAAAGCAACACCAGTCCTCATATACATCCAGTATTCTCTTCAGATAGCCAGATTCTCATTTGCTGAATACGGGTCTAAATAAGAAACCTCAAGGTATTTGCGTAATGCACTACTCATTAGGTTGCTGAAGATTCTTCGACAACCCACGACCGGTTTGGGCCTCAAGGTAAGTCTGATCATCATCAGATTTCCAAAAGATGCCATTGAACAAAAGCTCTAAAACAAGCAAGCAGCTGTAATGGAACAAGACAATTGACTAAGCATCATGAACAACTTCTTGATTTTTCCAACGTGAGATCAGATTGCTGGCCTACCTTCAACAAGAATTGCCACCATTAGTTACGTTCAATCAAAAAAGACCCTTTTTGGTGAGTATGCACAGTATCATTTTTGTTCTTCAAAAACGCAAACCAGGACAGGTCTTACTCACTTGCAGTTTGCGTTCTAACGGAGTGACATCTCTTTCAAGCTCGCCGTCGGTGCGCCATTCATTGCTTGGTACATAGTCGGAGAAGTCGACAAACGGTGACATTTGGGCTCCTTCATCTGAACTTGTCCACCAGATAATATCCATTTGTGTCTTGTCATAGGTCCACGAGCCGAACTCGAGCATGCAAACCTGGTTAGTGGGAATCAACGTAGTGCACTGAGATTAGTCTTGGTTTACTATTGCCTCGAAAGTGCACATCAGAAGCAAAACGCTGGCAATAGTTGATACATGGTTTATACAAATATAAGCATATTGTCCAGTAGTTCACATAAATCATCCTGGACGTCTATGACACCCCTTTGCATGGGGTAACGGATAAAGATGGACAGAATGGGTGTTGAATTTAACTTGACCTTATGGTAAGTTTACCATTCATCTGCTTACTCCAGTTGTTTTGCTTATCCGTACCCGCCATTCCCCTTGCAGCAGAGGCCGTCCCGTCCGACATTTGTGTATTGACATGTGTGAATGTGTGCAGCTGACCTACTTGCTTGTACGCGTTCGTATCCCGTTTTCGGAGGCTGCCTTGACTGGTTTTCTCATGAGCTTCATGTGATCGCAGAGCCAGTGAGAATAACGGGGCTGTCGTCCAAAGTATCGACCGCAACCCACACTACTGAGCCCTCATTCCGCCCGCCGTTGTTTGGGGTGCGGACGTTGACACTGCGCTGCGACGGTCGGTGAACTTGTTGACGCTACGAACGCGTTGTACATTTGAGGTTTGATGTACAAATGTGCTCACCCTTGTGTAAATAGTACCGTAGAATTTCGAACTCAATTATTCCTTTTGATATTCGGGATTGTCGAACCTACACGTCACTCGAAGTTCCGTTTCGGGAACCTCAACAATGGGGCGGAAACGAGTATTTGACACACCTGCCTTGTTTACCAGTATAATGGTTCCAGCTGGCATACTCACAGTTATCGTAGTACTATACAAGAAGGCCGACTCGCATCTACGCTTATTGCGATGGATCTACGTACGATAACTCTCGGATGTTTGTAAGCAAACCAGGATGGTCAAATTCCCTCCATTATTGACAACCTTATGCCACTATCGGACGGTAAGCGTAATGGTTCAAACAACCCCACCTCCTGTGGTGAATGTTGGTTTTCTGGGCAGATTTGAGCACGGAGCCTGGTTGCGTGAGGCAGATCGTTTATGGCTGCACTGCATCCTCTAAGACTGTAAACCCGTCATACCAATCGACTGAGTGAGTATTGCGCTGACAACAAGTGATCAGGTCCGTGGGATAACGACTGTCGTTCCCCTGATTCTTAATATGTTCCATTGGTTTACCAACATATACCCGCTGGTGAGTCCGTTGTGACGATCGTTAACCGGCTGCTCTGTTAAACAACCTTCTCGTCCATCTCCTACCTTGATCAGTTGAATGAGTCATGTACCCTTCCACGATAACTTTGAATAAACTTCTCGCGTGTAGCTTTGCATTTCCGGAAATTTGGAATTCCAAATCCTTAACTGTGAGTCGGTGAAAAGGGTTGTGAGCAACCAAAAAACAAGAACAAACTGGCCTCAGTACTGTGCTGTATATCTGCAATGTTGGTGTGTCTACCCCTTGATTACTAGTGAAAGCAAGAGAGCCGTCAGCTGTGGAGTTATCAGCAAACACGAACTAAGCAGTTACAAGACAAGCAGTTAGACAAGCGAGTAAATATCTCATCTGCAGAGTTTTTCGAAAAGTGAATATTTTCACGCAACCTCTTGAACTTTCCTAAAATCTACGCAGTTCAAGACAAGCAGTTAGACAAGCGAGTAAATATCTCATCTGCAGAGTTTTTCGAAAAGTGAATATTTTCACGCATCCTCTTGAACTTTCCCAAAATTCTATTAAGTAGTAAACAATAGCAAATGGACCCTGTAAAGCGGCTCCATAATTTTTGTCATAAAATTCACTTTCTTTCACATGTGGGGGCGGACCTTGCACACCAGAACACAGGCTACTCGGATGAATCATCGGTAGTATACAGTGTCACATTAGTATCAAATAATGTGTGTTATATGAGAGCTGGTATCATCGAACGTAGAAAAAGCACTGAGAAGAGGTGACACACCCAGTCTTACTTGACTAGAAACGCTAGGGTTATTGACTCTCTTCGAAAGGGTCTATCCTGGGAGTCACCGGGCGCAAGGATTCTTGACCAGATACCCACTTATATTCGCCTCTGTGTGGCACATCTGGCAATGTCTACGAAGGAGTCTTACAAGCAAAAATTGGTCGATGTCTGTTCGTCGTGTCTGCTTACTCCCCAACTGATTAGCTCTGACACCATCAAAGAAAACTTTTATGATGCCGTAAATGCATTGTCGCGGCGAGATAAAGGCTCAGACATTGTGGTGTTTGCCGATCTGAATGTACAAGTGGGCAGACTTAGCGTATCTGAGACTCAACTAGGAGGCCGACATGGACTGGACTCTGCATGTACGGATAAGAGCGAACGATAGTTTCAGCTGTGTGCTAACTGCAGATTGTTTTTATGCATCACTAACTTCCAAAATATCCGAAGTCGTCTCCCCACATGGTGTCCTCCAATGGTGTGCCCGCTACAAACTCAAATTGATCAAGTTGCCATCAGTTACCGATGGGGCGGATCAATAACTGACTGCTGGTCGTTTTGGAACACATTCGTGGATTCTGACCACGCGCTCGTTCGGAGTCACTTCTCCCTTCGTTTTCTAACAAGGTATTAACAAATCGCTTAGCAATGAGGAACTGGTAGATCCGGATATTAGGTGAGCTTACCAGAATCGTCTTCTGGAATCTCTTCCAGCTATCCCACCATAATGGGACAAGATCGCCACTTCTTTGAGCAATAGTGGAAGTTTTACCTGTGGTACTGCGCTACCCGACTCACCCAAATACTGGATATCAGACTTAACAGTTACACTGCTTAAATCTCTGAGAGATAACCCGAAAGGTCCCGAGCATATCTGGACAGGACGCTTGTGAGACGTCAAGTGAAAGTGGGCATGCGAGCGACCGTGGAGTCTGGTGGACACGGAATGCCAAGAAAATGGAAGATGTCCAGAGGGGTGGGAATGCCCGAAGATTATTTCAGTTGATCCTTGCGACCGGGCCCGGGGAACGATCTGTGAACAAAACCATCAAGGATCGGAGTCGAGCGACCGTCTTGAGTAGGAAAGAACGCCCAGACCGGTGGACCGAATAATTAGAACAACGATTATCGCGGCCAGCAGCTATCACACATCTGGAGCCCACAACTGTGGTAAAATCCTGGACGATGAACGTGGAACCCATTGCGACTCAAAGGGTTCATGATTGCATGTGTTCCCTCAAGCACCACCTAGCTTCTGGTTCGGATGGCCTCTCACCCGCACTGTTCAAAGACGGGGGTGAAGTCCTCAGTCAGCGCTTATCTGACCTGTTTGCTTGCATTTGGGAAAAGGAGGTTATCTCAGACAACTGGAGAGAGTCGATGATAGTGCCCACTTTCAAAACAGAGACTGGTAGTGATTGTAGTAACCAAATTGGGATCAGCTTGACTCCGGTCTTAATGATACAGATGGCGTCATTTGTGATTCGTCGCATTACGGTGGCTCGTGAAACACTCACCCGAGAGCACCAAGTGGAATTCCCGCTTGTTAGGGGTTGCTAGAACGTCAAGGTGCATTCGAATTGGTTGACCGACTGCTTCCCTTGACAAGGAATATCCTGTAACCTCCTGAATGTAATAAATTCTTTATATTCTCAGACTTCTGGACGTGTGAGAGCATACGGAGAGCTCTTTAAAAGTCTCCCACACAAAGTGATGTTCGTCAGGTGTGCCCGCTCTCACCATTCTTATTTAATCTCGTGATCGATGAATTAATCAGACGAACGCTGAAAGACCTTCAAAACCCCGGTTTTCAAATAGCCTCTGACAAAACTCTTGTCGATCTGAAATATGCAGATAACATCGTTCTCGTCTTCGAAGAGGATAAGGCGCAGTTGTCCTTGGATGAAATAACCATAGTCATCTCACCCTTTGGTATGCACTTTGCACCCACAAGGTGTGAGGTGTGATGCTCGTAGACATGCAGTCGCTGAACACGCCACCTACAATCCAGGGAGAGGCAATCGATGTTAAGGAGCGTTTTGCGCGTCTAGAAAGTTGTATCACTTCTGATTGTAGTGTGACAGATAAGGTCAATGCACGAATCTGCGTGACTCGGGTCGCGTTTGCTAATTTGAGGCAACCATGGCGTGAGAGTGGTTTATCCCTGAATCTCAAGGGACGTGTGTATCAAGCTACAGTGCGGGCTGCTTTGTTGTGACTGTGAGACGGCCTGCTCGAGCAGCTGAACTGAGATGTCTTCAGGTCTTCGACAACCAGAGCCATGTCTCGTGTGGGGTTGCGTCGGTGAATCTGCAACTGGGCACTTAGAAAGCGAGTTTTCGGATGTAACGGAGACGTCCATTGGAGAATGTGTCCAGTACCAGAAGCTGCGTTGGTTAGGCCATATTTTGCGTATGCCAAACCGTCGTTTTCACGTGCTCAATTCAGATTGGCGGATGCAGAGAGTTGACTCACCCTTGGGTTGACGGAAGGGTAAGAAAGATATTACAAAACGTTTGGGTGCTGTAGATGCCATTCGCCTTCCAAGATAGGGACCAAGTGATCCCCACTGAGCTTGGTTGGAGACGCTGGAAGATATGACTGCAAATCAATGTCATTGACGTTCTTGTTGTCAGTTTCTGTCCATATTGCCTGAATGACCACCTGGAGATGTAGGTACCTGGGAATGATTGTAGCAAGCTGATGCCAAGTCTCTTCTCCGTTAATTTTGTATTCTTTTCTCCAAAGTGAGGCTTTCGGGTGAATCATGGTTGTATGACAGCGAGGCATCAGTGTTTAACAGTGATGTCATGCTGTCGATGATGATGATGGTGATTATGATGATGATGATGATGATGATGATGATGATGATGATGATGATGATGAGGTTGATGGTGATGATGATGATGATATGATGATGAGATGATGATGATGATGATGATGATGATGATGATGATGATGAAAATGTGTATGAGAAGATATCTCGAAGTAAGTTAGTAGACCATTTAAAAGGTTGACCTGAGCAGAGTTAAGTGTCACAACCTAAGACCGAAGCCAATCCCAAAGATACTCACTTGCGTATCAAACGGAAAATAGGTTATCTCCACCTCACATGTGCTCTTGAAAAGTGCCTGTGGAATCCATAGTACTGATCCGTCGTTCTGTATAACAACGCGTGCCTCTCGGTGCTCTTTCAAACGTTCATCGGCGCTATTCAAGGGAAAAAAGACAATATGCCTCAAACAGCCGCGGATGGTTTTAATGACCGATACTACGGGTAGAAATTATGGGCGCAAAGGACATTTCAACGTATATTAATGATCGAAATCATCTGAAAAGAAAGAACGCGCGTTAACATCTTGAAATATCAGTCATAACCGATGAAACTATTGTAAAGGCAACACTAACTTTGGGTGGCAAGTATAGCCAAGTGGATAGTAAGTCCTGTATGTCACTATCTTGGGAAATTCATGAAGCTTACGAGACGTCACCCAGTTTTGCCACATCAACTTCTAGTGGAACGATACCTATCAAGTAGTTCATTTTAATATCCATTGTTACCCCTTGAGGACTGACTGATTTACGTCAGAACCGATGAGTTTACGACAAAAGGCATGAAACGGCCATCATCCTGATGTAGGAAAGAGAAGAATAGTACTATCCTGTAAAGAATTCTATAACTCTTTGGAACTTAAAACATACAAACCGAATGAAGCATTCGAGAACCCCACATATCACTGAGGTAGTTAAAAATGCACTTCCAAATTGTTACGGGGTCGCTTGTTAAAACCACTGCTTTTCAGTACTTTTGTATGTTTATTGGCATTTTAATACTGCTGGCTAGACTAAGTTTGAACTGTTACTACCAGTGTTTTCTCCTCAGATAAGCCCTCAGCTCACTTATTTGTTGTTGGTAGTAAAGGAGCAATAAGTTGAAAAACCAAAAGGTACTGTACAAGCTAATTGGAAAATGTTTGGGACCGACTGGGAAGTCATCGTTTCAGAGGGTTAGGTAAACAACCTGTGGATTTATTGCTGGGCAACGTTTCGCTTTTGACACAAAAGCTTCGTCAGGCCAAGTGAGTAAGTAAGTAGGTTGATTGGGTTTTAAGGCAGTCAGGGAACCAATCCGTGAGATTCCTTATGACTAGTGACTTGAGCAGTGCTGGGTGTTCAGTCTGATGTTCCTGATTGTTGATTAGTGGGTATGACTAAGATTTACGATAGATTGGTTAGGGGATGGATTCGTCTTTATGATGAACCCGGATTTTTCCTCCTTGCTTTTTTAGCTTAGGACACCTTAATGGGAAATTCCTCTTGGGTCGTTCACAGATTTTGTTCACCTGTGCTCGTCCAAGGGTGCTGGGACAATTGGTTTGGGGATGGGGGTGGGGTGGTTAATTGGATCTGACTCTACTTGGATCTTGTACTTTTAAACACAGGCGATCTCCCTGATAACTGCACACCGCCTCATGTCATCTCGGCTGATCTAAGACCGCTCTCCACACGTTTGCAAGATCTACCCCCTCTTAGCGAATATACACTTATTTGCAAACTAATTTGTTTTCTTTTTCGAGAGACTCACCTGGAACCCAGCCGAATCTCTCGTTTGTGATGTTCTCAGGCAACTGAATGTGCTGCCGCCTCATGTTTCAGTCGCTACGATATTCGAATTATCACGATACATGTATATCTTTGTAATGTACTACTCATAAGGTTTTACCCCCTCTATTCTATTCACACTGGGATGCTTGGTGATTTTCACCGCCTCGGCCACCAGTTGCTGTGGTGTGAATCTTAAACCCCGTCTCAGGATGTCCACTTTTTCTAAATCTATCCTATGCCCGGTGTCTAGAGCATGCCCTGCCATTGCTGAATCTTTGACTAACGCCTGCTATTCCTCTGCGTTTCTCGGTGGTCTGTTAATGGAACGCTTATACTCACCGATTCTGGTGTGCAATACCCTGGCTGTATGACCTATATAAACCTTCGTACAGTCGTTACATTTTTATTTTGTATACACACTTCCTAGTCCCATCAACCGAAAGGCAATCCTTTAAATGCACTAGTCATAAGGAATCTCACGGATTGGTTCCCTGACTGCCTTAAAACCCAATCAACCTACTTACTTACTCACTTGGCCTGACGAAGCTTTTGTGTCAAAAGCGAAACGTTGCCCAGCAATAAATCCACAGATTGTTTACCTAACCCCTCTGAAACGATACTATACAGCTGTTTCATCCTTATCCAGAATCACCAGCACTGCGCTTCTCACTAAACTCCAGGGAGTCTCAAACTTGCAATCTTCTGGTCGTTGGTTGAATGCTTACGCGTTTGGCCACGAGCGGCTGATCATCGCCATGATTGGTTCATACTTAGAGAGGGCCATGTTCCACTTATCCTTCAATCACGAGATCCACATCTCACGTGATCCCCTGTGTTGACTGGCTCCACTAGGGACGACTTATCGGATGGAAGTTCTACTCGGTTTATGCTGCACAATATTCAAGCGAGTTTGGTCGCATATGATTTAAGGTCATCTCAAGTAAGGTCTGAACCAAGGCACTTTTTAGCAACTAGCGACAAAGGGAATTCTTTGGACGTCCCGATGGAAGGTTGCAAACTGTGCGAATCTGAACAAACTTTCGTTCCGAAGAGCGAAGAAGCAGAAGTGAGCTGTCAATCAAGACAAGCTTTTGGGTTGCTAGTATTAACAATCAGTTTGTCTCCAGCTTGCGTCATAAACAGCGCAGTGTTTTGATTAGGAAAAGACCCGGTTAGCTGTCCCTAGGAATCCGACCAAGGGGAAGTGAGCGTTCTCGTTTGCAGCCTACGGTGAACGGGATCACCCCTAACATCATCTTTGAAGGGTGATTGTACATGTACCGCCAACTCGGCATTTTTTCAAGATTGAATCGAGGGTTAGGTCTGTCAGAAACATTCTGGAATTCATCAAACACACTGAACAATAGTACTCTATAGAGGAAAATGTTGGTAGCTCAGGTAGCGTAGATGGTCGTTGATTTGTCCACTGAGCTGGACAATTTGATTGATTGGTGATGAAACGTTGGTAAATGCAAACAATGGTATTTTATACTTCCTGTCCGGGCTCTCTTAGGTCAAGTGCAATAGAGCGAACACCAGCATAACTGAATCCCCTCAGTGATTCTCGCTTGAAAATTGAACTGCATTGTCCCAATAATTCACACGGATATGACAAACTGAGTGGAACAATATCTAAACTCACAAGTTGTACAGTTTGATATCCGGAGTCCATATATAGGAAGGAAATATCCGTACACTTCTAATATCCCCGTATTCGCTGTGGTTCCATGTGAGCAGCGAATCTTGCCATTGCTGAAACCGAAATAACACCACATTGTTTCACTTGCGGGATAAGGTGCAAAAGTACCTGTTTAAACCATCATTACGTAAAGAAGATGTTCAATCTAACTGGTTTCTCTCCTACAACATTCCCCCCTTAGAAGGAAGCACTTCAGGCATACCTCAAGTTTCAGTACTGTGAACATGGTACTCTCAAAGAAATGCGTTCAGGAAAACAAATTTTACCATTCAGTTTTCCTTGAAAACAGGAAAATCTATTTAGACAAACAGTAAACACGTTATCTGGCGAGCAAGCGGTTCAAAGTCATGTCTGCTACACTGAACCCATTTTCCTCGTTCCGTAGTGCAGAACAGACTGCATCTTACCCAGCCGAAACAGCCAAGATATGATGGGTTAGTCTCGGCTTGNTTAGTCTCGGCTTGTGGTTGCACTCTTTCCGTCCAATTTAACTTATACCTCGCCAATAGGATGATGGCTCTTCAAATTAACTGTTCCTCTCAATCGAAAAGCAAATTTGTGTACTCTACTAAAGCAGAGTAAAGCAGTCGAGAGATTTCACATAGATACGTCATTAGCCTGTGTCAGTTGTGGTGAACAATGAAGAGAACAGGAGGTAGTAAAATTCAGGCTGAAGCTCCCAAAGAAAGTTGTCTCGTGCAGTTGAGTGAATGTCTCCGGAACAAGAAGAATGGATCTGTCAGTGCCTTGTCCAACCTGAGAATACATCTTGAAATACTGCTTTTGCTTACAGTAAACTCACAGCTTTTGCCCTATGATTTCGTTTCTAACCCTAAATTTCCATGAATCCTCTATAACCTTGTCAGAAGCTGGCTTCATTCTGAGCACTAATCAAGAACTGAACATCAACCTGGAGTGGAGGAGTTCCGAGCAGTCCGGAAATGTGTTTCTCATGAAAGGAAAATGTTATGATTCGAAATATAAACCCAGTCCAACATAATACAGTGAGCCAATTTCCCGACAACCCGTTTAAATTGATGTAGCTAAACGAAAACCATACAAGGCAACCATCAAAAATCGAAAGTGCATGGTTTGCAGTGCAATTGTGGTAAAGTGTGGTTGGCATGCAGCCTCAACTGTTAAATATCTTTTGAGAAATCAAAAGTGGGTTTATGGGTGGAAAGTTTTATATGGTCTGGCCTGCACATAGTGGTCGTCATCTCCTATTCACGCTCTGTTTAAGCCACCGGAACGGTGTCTGCTGCCAGGGTGAACTGAGTGGAACTCGAAGATTTTAGAAATGTGTCTCCGGATTGCTTATACACTTCAACCGACCTCAAGCGACAGTGCTAACAATAACTGTCAGCCCAAGCTTAACATCTTCCGTTCTCTTCGTTAATGGTATGGAACAATTGTAGCACATAGCCAGTGGGTCTTCCAATGGTACTTGCTTCGACCTCTTGAAAAGGCGTCCTTCACAGACAGCTATTCAGAGGAACAAAATTTGGAGACTGCTAAACTGCAATCATTCTGGTACCGTCCAGTGTTCGGTACTGGGAATAATGGGACGTACGGATACGGCCGCATGCAAAACAGTGTGAACAGCGATGGTTTTCCGCTTGAATTACTCGAGACGAACTAAGGCAGATTGGTTGTTGTTTGTCGAGTGGTGAGTGCATGTGTGCAAACTTGGGACCGGCCCTACTTCGGGCCTGGTTAACTGACCGTCAAATTCTCTTGGTAGGCTTGTCTTCTAATTGGTCCATCTGCACGTGACCTCTGAGACTGGCCTGTTTAACTCCGACACGTTGACCGACACTCGCATAAGCCACTCTGACTCCAGGGTATTCCTGCCTCTGTTGTCCCGAAATTTGGCTGTGCTTTAATGTTCTGGTTGAGTCGCTGATATTTCGCAATTGGGGGGTGATTAGGTTGGACCTTTAGTTCGTCTAAGGTGAACTCTGGTTTACACTGCAGGTGTGTATGTTTCGATTACCGTAACTATACTGCTTTCAAGTCATATCAGTCACGTTGTGTGGGGATGTTATCTTCCTTCATGTACTGAAAAACGCTCAGCTAAATTTGGAAGTTCAAAGTGAGCAAATTTTAAGCTGACCTATCACACTGTCGTTTAACCACTCCAACCATCATCTCAACATTATTTTGTCAACCATATAAACCTTCTTTGAGTGGAGGCTAGTACTGGGGTAGGTTCCTGAACAGGTTACCTCTGCCTCTTCAACTTACTGTCATAAGCAGCTCCTCGACAGTCACACAACGGAGCTAAACCATGATCCAACTATATGTGCCTTGTTGTGATTACTAGTGTCCTGCTGAAACACCGTGTTTGACTGGCAGAGAAAACAACGTTATCGACTGAGAACTGGATGCGTACATAATTCACCGAAACCTGACAGGATATGGATCAATATGATAAACAATATGGCAAAGTAATAGCGCCACCCAAGATTATTTTGTCGTCATCACGTTTGGTACCACCGTCACGGGACAGACCATGTATCAGATGTCGCGCACACAGGCTCGCACACGTAGACTCGTGCACACAGACGCGTGCGCGCGAGAACACACACACAGGAGGGCAAGTGAACTGCGAATTTAAGGGTAGGCCAGTTGTGAGATGTGATCGTAATCGGCTTGAAGCGCACAGTGGTTGATGACACTGTCCTAAACGCTCACTCTTGGTTTGTTTTCTCACTGTTGACAGGTAGTGTATCCAATGCGCGTGTAGCATTTGGAAATCCCATACGCTCGCGCACAGTCATTCCCCACCTGTCCACTCAATTCAAAAGGATCGCCAGCGAACTCAACTATCATCACAAGAGCCAGCTAAGCTGATCGATTTTGAGCATTGCGCTAATTGGCTGACCCTACTCAGGCCAAAGAAGCGCTGTCTGGATGCTCCCTGAAGCCAACCTTGTCAGCCCCACGGCTGGAATCGACAGCAGTTGTTAGCCTTGGTCACCAGTGCACCTGAATTCTGCCCAGATCGAAGACAGATCCCCCCTAAATCCTAGATGTGAGGAGAAGCTAGTACACCGGGAGAGCATCAAACTGCTGACATGTATGACAGCCGTGTTACGTGTTGCTTGCATCTTAAACAAAACAACACAACCCAACACACGTGACTCCTGCTGAGTGTGGAAGTATTTAGGGATCAATGCAAGTCATCCTAATGCGCAGCTACTAATCGTTCGAATAAAACGCCGTGTTCTTTTTTTGGAGATTTGAACCGAGTGTAGCAGCCTTTCTTTTAAACGGGCCATAGGCCCACTGGACCACATACTTATGACGTTCGGTCTTTGTTCTCCAGACCTCTCCGCACATAGTTTGAATGACATGGCATATTCCGGTTATCCGAACTTCAGTTGCACTGCACGATCCCTCAACCTGCGTCACCCTATTTTCCAGTCCGGGGACAGCAAATGCACGATGACACAACACTGGTTGTTTGTCAACTGGCTGTTGATCTGTTCGCCATGCTTGGTAATCTGTTTGCAAGAACCACAAGAGACATCCTCAGTGTCAGATTGCTTCCACACTTGTCGGTACTTATGTGACTTCTAAAGCATGCTTGTTACACCTACTGTCATTCAAGCAGTAACCTTAGTGTACTTCAATCGGTCCGTTCACAACTTGTGCTGTGAAGTGAGCTGATTCTTTTGCTTTTGCTCATTTCACCTGCCCCACCCTTTTATCCCATTTCCACCAGGCCTCCTTCCGTTTGGATGGACGGTGAGACACCGCCCACTGTTGGGAATTCCATCCCTTCGATTTCAATTGTCCAGGTCAAATTAACCTAAGTCTATTACACCTGGAACAATACAAACTTACCTCTTGTTCAATGGCCCACGAAAGAGTCGAAAAGTGATTTCAAAACCTGATTTGCTTCCACTACTTTAAGTGCAACCTTGACAGTGGAACTCAATTGGGATTTCAAGTGTTGAGTGCTGAGTACCTGACTAAGTGGTGAAGATTAAAGTCACTTGAAGAATGACAGATTTAATGAAATTCAACTTCCAGAAACTCCTGTTCCGAAGCACCATTGTCACCTCAAAAATGTATTATAATTTGTCTGCAAGATTTATAATTCTTCACTGAGCTCAATAAGGTGCATGAAAACCGGTTGAGAAGGGTGGTTTTGTTCAGCTGCATCTCACCGCTTTGGCTGGTGGCTGACACGGAATTTCGGTTCAAGGTCGAGGCTGATGCTGATCTTGGCCAAATTACATAGTCATGAGCTGTTAGCTCCATTTATAACAAAAGGCGACAGGTGAGTAGATGTTTGACTCATGGAACAGGCGAAAAAACAGGTTGATATGCTGTCACATCATAGATGCCATGATCACGTGAGCGATTCTTCCATTCCTCTGTAACTTAGAAAAGGTCAACTTCATCTCGGTAGATCGTTTGTGAGTGACTCGAGACACCGTTCTGATGCAGCTGATGCACTGTAAGTGATGTAATTTATTCACATACTACGCTACTGAACGGTTCATGAGCTAGTGTTGAACCCGAGAAATTTTAAACAAGTAGGGTTTAGAATTTCGCAGAAATTATCTTGTCACAGCATTTCTGGCGACACAACGTGGTCATCCAGAGGCCACAGTTACTGGGCTGGTTCGGCAGAAAACAAATGAACTTTTGTCAAGCGAATGAGTTTACAGTACTCGGAAGTATTAGTAGCGTTGAAAAGAGAACCCATACTAACTACCGTGTGCGCCGACAGTTCGTCTGTCACGCTAATTGGACACGCCAGAAAAAACCGCCAGAGGTAACCATTTTGGGCCATCCTTAACCTGTGAACATCCTGGTTACCCGTATCCACACAGAAAACAGCTTCCATGCAAGCAAGTGCCCGCATTTCCTAATTTCTAGAAACATTATGGCCCCAGTTGGGCGCAGAAGGTCTGTAACTGTGAAGTACTTCTAGTAGAACTAGTACTTCAAGTGGAACATGAGGTTGACGGAAACTCGGGGACTGCGCCTACCTGATGAGCTTCAAGAAGGGCGAAACCGGTCGTGGGCATTCGAAGAATTTTCAGCAACCTTATGAGTAATGCATTACGAATATACATGTATCGTGATATCTCCAATATCGTAGCAACTGAAACATGAGGTGGCCTGGTGCAGCACATTCAGTTGCAGGGGAACATCATAAACGAGACTCAGCTGGGCTCCAGATGAGTCTCTCGCAAAACCAATTTTTTTTGCAAATGAGTGCACTTCACAGTACTATCCTGTTAAATGAACCCATCCCAGCAAAGTGCGAATTCAGGACACCTGGTGGGGAATACTCTCATACATAAGTGGGACACCTATAAAGTTGCACATGCCACAGAATGCAGGTGACAACATCACTCCTAACCCTTTAAATAGAGTCAAGGCTACTTGTTTCGCTCGCCCCCACACAGCAAGCTAAGCGAGTCCATCTGTGCTTCTTACTTCTCAAACCCTTGTTGTTCATGCGGTGTTGACGAGACTTAAACCGGTCGTGAAACAACCGTTGTAGGCTCGTCTACACTACCGTTTCCACAGGTCCGTGTGCATACAAGTTGACCATCTGCCAGTAGGGGCATATGCTGCTTCTCCTCTGCTGTTTACCTACATGGTATCCTCCAACCTAGCTGCAGTCAGATATATAAAGAACTCACCTCATATTAAGTAGTAACTAACCGCTAAAGATCAAGTCCTTATTGTCTTCTAGGAGATCTTTTGCTTCTTGAGGGTATCCTGTGGTGGTTACACAAGGGTTCACCAAGACGATTTCCTCAAGGTTAGCAGATTGTTTACTGGCAGAATACTATGCGTCTTCAATATTTCACAGTTGTATAGCACGAGACTATTCAACCTGTATCCGTACCAAGGATACTTTTAGAAACACTCAGTTCCGTTGGAAATCATCTGCGAGGCGCAACTAACGAGCCAAGATTGGGGGAATAAAACACAGAGGGGCAGATCACATCCTAGTTGGTAGGGTGCTACTAGGACTGTAGTTCTGCATGTATAAGCTCCATCTAAACCCCAAAACTCATATAAGGCAGTAAAAACCTAGAAGACTTTTGTATAGACAATAGACTGTTGAATTCCTTGAAAAACACAGAGACTGAGACAGCAAGAGGTAATCTTCTCATTGCACTTACATACATTGACCAGCAGTTGGTGCGCAGAATTTGTTTGTTCTCATCCAAATCGAGAATTTGAAACAACTGTAATCCGTAGGCCACAACAACTTGTATTTTGCTGTCATTCACTGGCCGTCCAACCACTCCAAACTGTTCGTAGCGATTGAGTAACATTCGTATGAGTGTTTTCTCTACCGATTTGACCTTCGTTACTGTGAAACAGAAAAGAGGAAGGAAGAAACAAATGCCTCATTCACCTACTATGCACAATACACACGACATACTGTTGAGGCATTCGAAATCAAACCATTTTCTCTCTCATTGCTGACATCCGGTCCTGGTGAATATACGTACTTTCGTATCATCATTTTTTGTGCAAAAATTTCACGTTCCCGTGTTTTTGAAAGGATAGTTTCACTTAATAAAGGGTTCTTTTTATATAATATTCGGTTTGGTTTATTATGTTTCAGGTGGTGTTGAGTTTTGTCATTCGGCCAGGCGGTGAGATCTTACCACTTCGAGTCCCACTTAAGCCTTTCTGTCCAGAATACAGGGGTCTCCCATAATACAAACAGGAAAACTTGGGATTATTCTCCTTGCCCCTCAGTGATGCTTTCACTGGGCATCTGGACTGGCACTGTGTCACACGTACTAGTAAATTATTACATAGGCACGGAAAATTACTACGCTTTGCAGTCATTTTCGGTAGCTGAACCTTGCCTAATAAGTATCAGACTGAACTGTTGTGCCAGTAGTTTTTGCAATGGACTTCCCCTGTTCGAAGTTTATGTGCTACTTTCTAATTTTATCAGTAGTTAAAACTATTGCGATCAATCTGCAGCAAGGAGCCTGCACAACTGCGTCTCACGGAATCCAAAGATGACATCTCTCTTACGAAATCCCTCTTCTATTCGCAAAATATTGTCGAATAATTTTTATGTAGCAATGTTTACACCAGTTTTTTTCCTTTCACTCCTTCGTCTCTTCACATCAGTGTTTCCTAGAACAGGGAACCTATCTCAGAGCGAAACTAGCCTGAAATATCCCTACAAAACGACCATGGCCTAATTGTCATGTAATCCCCAGGAAGTGTCCGTTGGTCATACCCGCATTTTACTTAATAGAGCTATGGAAACTAATTCTTACTCTCCAGAAACTTTGGACAGTAGTAATAATCGCTTGAACACCGGCCAAATCTCGTCCTTCTATTTTGTGGCAGTTGGTTGAATTCCCTGGTATCAATAAGAAACTTTGAGAGTAGGTGAAAAACAGGAGAGTAGCCGGTAGATGCGCTGCACAACTTCCAAAAAATTTAAACACTTGTGTTAGATCTTAACATAATATTGTCTGTATTGGCAAAACAACGTTCAAATACATATGCTTTTATAGTGTTACAGTATAACGGGTTCCAATAGATGAGTTAGAATCTTAAAGAGGTAACTGAGTGTGCTACCTTCTTATTCTAAAAGTATATCCCATTGCAAACGATATGCCGCTTGATCTTTTCCAGAAAACCGGGATCGTTTGATGTCGCTCTAAATCCATTTTGCGTCGTGCCCCGAATTCGGGATGATGTCATCCCACCCCCCGCGACTTTTTCCAGCACTACTAGTAAGTAGCAAATAATGGTTTGCTGTCAGTGTTTGCTCACCTACTACTGATTTAATCCAAAGTAGGACAACCAACATGATTCCCACATTAATTTCAACCAGTTTAAGCTATGTATTGATCAATGGGGAAGTTGTGCTATTCATCTCATGTCTGACTCTGGAAGACATGAATGTGTACGTGAAAAGATCATCCCGTAAGTTCACTTACTTCCTTTAAGATAATCCACAAAGAGCATAAAATCCTGACATGCTATGGCACATCTGTTCAACAAAAAACAAATCACCGATGGCTAGTTCTGCTTCGTGGCCGAAGTTCCTAATTTTGCCACTAAAATTCAAGTTTTTAAGGAACCAACATACCTTCGTCTCATTTTAATTTTGGCCAGTAGAAGTGCTATTACGTTGTATTCTCGTTCCCACAAGTTTACATTCTGAATATGTTAACATCACACTTTCGGCCAACCGTTCCACGGTCTTTTTTCAGACATGGAATGCGACTCAGATTGTAAGGTATGTCCAGATGCCCTGTGAGTCCCACTAAAAAGATAACGATATTGAACTACCTGATCAGTCAGCTTTGATCCCATGGCTGTCATTTGTCACTAGTGTCGCATTTTCCATCCACCTACACAACTGTGGTGTTTCTCAACCACGGAAAGACGTAGCATTTCAGAAGGATCGTCATGAAGTATTCCGTTTAGAATGCCTTAGTCGAGTAAACACCAGCCCAGTGAAAATAACATGTACACCGATAGATTTCCAAAAAGCGAGGCTTTGAGGCAAAACGTGATAACTATGGCTGTCGAGAGATTCATAATTTCATACTAACTGATGAAAATATTCTAGATGTTTTGCATGGGGCAACCAAGCGCATCAGCGAAACTCTAAAGTAAATTCACCCTGAAGCTCTCGGAATTCGCGTGATGTGGGGACTGTGTATGGATGAACATACCAAAAGTATGGTTCTCTCGTGTGTGCGACTAAGATGAATGTCCAGCAGCAGGGGTATGAAGCGTATCTGAGTTAACAAACCGCATCAGTTTCTGTCTCTTATTGTAAGCGAGATACGCTAACTCAGCTTAAATCAGGCAGAATTAAAAAAAGGAAACAAGTGTCCTCCTAATGAAAATTTTAAGTCAGCTTCACAAATCGGAGTTGGAAGTTTACAGATTAACAAGGAAACATCTGCCGTACAGTCATAATAGTGACTTACGTCGTAAATGTCCGAGAGGCAAACAATAGATGCGTGAATTCAAAGCCAGGAAAATCAAGGAAAGTTCAAAGAGCCTTATCTGAGGGAAGTTACCTATGTATACACAATCTTACGAAGATGTAAGATGTGTCTGCCTGAATTTCCCATCCTCGGCATCACCATGGACCGCATAGTACTATTGTCAAAGTACTAATTGCTCTTCAAGTGAGATTTTGTCTTGTAGGCGAAGCCAACGTGTGCGGAAAAGCCGAGAAGTACAGTACAGTTGGTTCATCCTTATCGGGGCTCGTCATCAGTGCACATCCCAGGAGACCCTAGAGAGTTTCGAGCCCACGACCTCCTGGCTACTGGTTTGAGTGGCCGCTAACAGCTAACCAGCCGTGTGATTAACTTTGTGGTTACTTTGTGTGTCTCCAACATCGGAGGGAGAGCACTGTGCATGAGGGTTTTTTATTGAACAAAGACAGTAGTAATGGTTGCATTTGGTCTATCTACACAGCCACATGCTCTTAAAGGATACTCAGACTTACAGGATTGTGCGAGGCCATTGTGGCATGAAACCACTTTTTATAGAGGAAAACGTCGGTGGCTCAGGTAGCGTAGATGGTCGTTGGCTTGTTCGCTGAGCTGGGCAATTTGATTGCAAACGTTTCATCACCAATCGAGGTGACATCATCACTACGTTATTGGGGAGCGTAGTGGGTTAGTGGCTGTGTCACCTCGATCGGTGATAAAACGTGTGCAATCAAATTGCCCAGCACAGCGAACAAGCCAACGACCATAAAACTACCTCTACAGACGTAAGTCATTCTCCTGTAGTACTTAGGACACCGCCAGGCCACCCCCAAACCAAAGCTGTAGGACGATAAGGGCACTTAATCGAGGCGATGGATGGACAGTGGATGGAGGTTCCTAATGGTTTTTTATGGACATGTCACTGTGTGTGTCTGTTAACCCGAATAACTGAGCCGAATGAATTAAGCTCACATGAAGTGAACTACTAATATGGTTGCTGATATCCTCTCTTCGGTAATCTTGTGAGCTAAATCTCAAATGCCATAACAAATGAAACATGAAATGGCGGCACATTCGGTTAAAGAACATTATAGACGAGAGATCGCACTGGAATTCCTGTGAGTCTCCCGTCAAACCAACAAAGCAAATTGCATCCTGGATACCCAACAGGGGATACTTTGAAGTTTCTATCCAGTATTGAATATTTCATCCTGTCTACGCTGAAAAGCCCAGAGGCACCGTAAAGATTTTCGCTCTTGTTAGGAATGTCGCCGGTTCGTAACTCAAGAGTTTCCATAGTGATTCCAATCCGCAATATTCCGGCTAGCAGCTGCACACTGTACGAGATACCATAATATCCCGCTGTATGAGAGATATGACCGGCATTATGTCCTGTATAAGTGCGAATAAGTTGAACTCCTGATCAGACACTGGTGTCCAAATGATATACTACTCAACAGGTGACTTGAAGGTCATCGCTTCAACTGCCCCTAATGATCGTGATGTGAAACCCTAAATAGGTAAAACAGTTGCACGGGGCAGTTTGGCTTTCCCCCATTGACAGACCTTATTCGGAACGTGGACCCCCTCTCTGTCTACAAAAAATCAGGAGTGGTCCCCCAGGTAGGTAATCCTTACTTTGACCCAACTCCAAACTTAGTCCGTGATATGTGTTTACGAGATCCCCATCCATTATCAGTCTAACAGATCCGTGATTTGACAAGTCCAGTCATATGCGAATTTATCGGTGGTCATGCGGACCGGAGGCACTGCGTGTTTGATCGTTCTCGTCACTAAAGGCCGAGCGATCGATGAAGCAACGCCATCATATCAGCATGGGTATATCAGTTGAATACTATCCAGTAGACATTCAAAATTCCAAGCTAGATTCCTTCTAATGGTAACCATGTTCTGATTCGAATACTAGATCCATGGGACAAGGAAGCTTTCCTGCCTATGTGTCAAAAAACTGTTTCAGTGTCTTGAATGTCCTTCCAACTGAAACACGAGGTATCTTCAGTTGAAAAATAGGATGAACAGGAGATTAGGCCAAGACTCAGATGAGTCTCCCATCCACTCAAGTTGGTAACGAAAGTTTTTGCTTCGAATAAACCACATACGCATCTGTAGCTAACCACATGTTTCCAAGTATGCACACAGTCACAGTTATTTCAGTTTGTGAATAGACTTCAATTTAATCCGTCCTACGTACGCCCCAGGAACGCCTGGACAATGTTTAGGGCAGTCGCCAATAAAGATTTGTTATGGATAAACTTCCATCCTTTCCAACTTACTTAATTTGACCCAATTTGCTTGTTCTGTTCGTAGTCAGTTTGGTGATCACTTATCGAGATCCTAAGTCACAGAACCAAAG